TTCACTATTGACTGAATCGAATTTAATGAAATTTGGGGAGCGACATTCTAGGGTGTTGAAGAGATAATGGAGCTATTTTATTGGAAATATTTGGTAGCTGAGTCATTAGCAAAATGAGATCGAACAATCGGCAAAACGCTTCCCAACGTCACCATTCTTCTTTAGGCTACGTGATCCTGTAATACTTTTATTTTTAGGAAATAAGCCTAACATTGAAATAAACATATCTAAATACTTTTTTTCTAATACCAAATATCTTAGGTACTATTGAAGCTATATTAATACAGTTTTGCATATCAAAGTTCATTAGGACGGCTAAAAAAAATCAAGCCTACTCTTGCTCTTTTTTTTTAAGTCAACTCCATATAAGCTGAATCATCTTTCTATCTATAAAAATAGTCAATGAATTTTGAGTGCGCCTCAACTTTTTTTTTTCAGCCAAGTAAATTGATCTATATTTAAATATTTTGTTACTTATTTTGCACCTCATGGCAATCAGTTTTTGTAATTTAAAACTTAGAACTTCAAGTGAGGTTAATTTGAGCAAAATAATCAGTTTCAAACAGTTTGAGGACTCATATCCCTTTTAATCATGACCTAAATTATCGGAGATGGGAAGCGTGTGAGTACAGTCTTCCATTTTTATCCTATTCTGTTTCCAAAATGTATCACGTAGCCAAAAAATAAACATTGATGTTCAATTACATTACTGAAATTGAACCGTAATCGAAAAGACCTTGGTCAATGCCACCTACCATTTGACCATGCTCATTTCCTTCCAGAACACCCTGTGTACAGTGTATACCAATACTTAAATATATTTCATTGGAAGCCTAGACAAGTCCTGTTACATACAAACGGTAACTAGTTCCCAGAAATTATTAAGTGGACAACAAAAACATTTTCTAAAATATGTGATAAATAGTACGTATAGCTTCTGAAAATCGCAAATATTTCTAAGAAACTTTTTTACGAGGATTAATGGTGGCAGATCAGAATCACGGTTGGTGGTCGAGAATCATATACCACCGCAGGACTACTATATCAATATACCCATAATTTCATCGCCATTCGAAAGTCGGAATCACGTCACGATTTTAAATCACCGAGATAAAAAAGTAACGATATCAGATATATCACGTATTCCGAAATAACAATATCGGCCGTCTTTTGTCGGAATGAGCAAAAGGAGATATGATACCCTTGACTGTTTCCTTCCGACAGAATAAATGGTTCAATTTACGGAGAGGAAAAAGTAATGAAAAACAGTATTCCATTGAAAGCAAAAACCTCGAGACAAATCCTGCACATGCCGAGTCGAGAGTTCAATGACCGGGTGCAGTTGTAGCCCGTTCTAACAAACCTAAACGTCATCCACAACCTTATGGTTGCAATTTTGTTGATGACGCGCCATTTGCTGGACCAAGTACTTAACAATGCTGTGCAGTGGTAGCCCATTATCTCAGTTGAAAGTCAAGTGTCAAATCCAATTATGTTGATGCTGCGGCGTCCTACACAATTTTCAGCGGTAAGGCGTCTTCCCAAAAAAAATATAAATATTAAGGTGATCCCCTTATTTAACACATTTAAAATGATATTTATGAAAAGCATTAAGTCTGTTTCTTAGTCCTCATATTCAGGCGAACTATAATGCATTTTTTTGTAAAATTATTGCCTGTTTTTAATTCTTCAAAATTTGGCGAGAGTATCCTGGGAAACAGACGTTGCCAATTTACCCCCCGCAGACTGAAATCCGCGGAGCGCTACTGCAAGCGACAGACAGAGAAATCCACGTCCAATTCGTATGTTAGAAAAAGATACAAGCACCATGTTGCCTGGCGACCCAAGTGGCGAGGCTACGGACGCAGTTGCGGCTAGCCGCAATGCCTTCGGCGCACTCTTTCTAACATACGCATTGCACGCTTCTCTCTCGTACACATTACCTCCACAGTGATATGGGTGTCTACGTGCAAGCCTATGCTGATGACGTAAGCATAGTGGTTAGGGGGCGTTTCTGTAGAACAGTCTCGGAAATTATGCAGGGCGCTCTGCGCTCCGTGGAATCGTGGTGTAGGGAAGTCGATCTTTCTGTTAATGCTGAAAAGACCGAGCTGATCCTATTCACTAGGAGAAGAAGGCTTGACGGACTGGTCATGCCTACCTTCTTTGGGACTAGATTAGTTTTGTCCCAGTCAGTGAAATATCTGGGAATTATCCTGGACTGCAAACTGAACTGGAGAGAGCATGTGGAACACAAGGTTAGCAAGGCTCGCAATTCGATGTGGGCTTGTAGACGTGTTGTCGGTGTAAGGTGGGGGCTTAAACCCAAAGTGGTATACTGGCTCTACACGACGATAGTACGTCCATCTCTCTTGTACGGCTCCCTGGTCTGGTGGCCTTGCATTAGAACTGAGTCAACTAAGGCCAAACTCAATAAAATTCAGCGTTTGGCCTGTATTAGCATTACAAGCGCAGTGCGAACAACGCCATTGAGTGCAATGGAAGCTCTGTTGGATCTCCCACCGTTGGATCTGGTGATCCGCGGTGAAGCGAGAGTAGTCGCTCATCGACTGTGGAGTCAGGGCAGCTGGGCTTTCTTGAATCCGGTCAAGGGGCATACTGCCATATTAGTCGAATTAGATAGGGAGGACCCTGTCCTTCTAAGCAGGGGTGATCGTATTACCCCTAAATATCGCTTCAACCGCAAGTTCATTGTGGAGTACCCAACGAGGGAGGAGTGGGACGCCGGTAGCCGAGGACTCTCCGAAGTGAGCGGGCAGGTCTGGTACACGGACGGCTCGGTCACCGAAGAGGGCTCAGGTGCTGGGGTCTCTGGACCTAGAACTAGGCTATCTCTGCCTCTCGGTGAGTACACCACCATTTTCCAGGCGGAAATCTTTGCGATTCTGGCTTGTGTATCTCACATTCTGGAGGAGGGTGGGCCTAGGAGAAGAATAACAATCTTATCCGACAGCCAGGCTGCAATGAAAGCACTAAGTGCATGTAAGATTACTTCGAGTCTTGTATTGCAATGCAGGGAGGCTCTGGATTGCCTCGCAGCGAGGCATCCGGTATCGTTAATATGGGTACCGGGGCACGCTGGGATAAGGGGCAATGAGACGGCGGACACTCTGGCGAAAACAGGATCAGCCAGCAAGCTCGTTGGTCCTGAGCCAGCTCTAGGAGTAACCGCGCATAAAGCTAGGAGGAAAATGGAGACGTGGGTTGCAAGACAACACTCTCAGAAATGGAGAAGTATCTCTAGACATCTCCGCCAGGCACGAGAGCTCATTGAAGGGCCCAGTGCTAAGGATGGACGCTTCTGCCTATCTCTGGGTAGAGCCAACCTAAGGTTGCTGGTGGGACTGTTGTCTGGCCATAACACGTTAAGGCGGCACCTGCACGTGATGGGGGTGGCTGAGGATCCCTTATGCGAACGCTGCGGAGTAGAGGAAGAGACCTCGGCGCACGTTTTGTGTCGCTGTGAAGCTCTGAGCTACTATAGGCAGACTATACTGGGGTCCATTACTTTGGACCCTCAGGACGTAAAGGAGCTTGGACTCAAGGCGATTCTCAACTTCGCTAAAAGGGCGAGGCTTGTGATTTAAGTATTGTAGAGGTGCATAAGGGCCCGCTTAAGCGGCCTATGCACTGGCTCCTTATGGTGGCCGGGATGCCTCTAAAATTCAAGATTCATTCATATTTGGATTTCTCTGTATATCTCTCCTCAAATTCGCCCCCTGACCTTTCATGTTTTTTTCTTATGATATTCGTATTCAGCACCCCCGATTACCTAAGTATGTAAAGTCACAGTTACAACAACGAGTAACGAAAATGAAAATTTTCCTGCATTTTCAAAAATTGCTGCGCGTTTCCCCATTTGGACGGGGACTCGTTGGCTGGGTAAACCGGATGCGTAGATCGAGCCAATTTTACCACCAGAGCTTCTGTCCAGCCGGCTGTTTTGTGCACGCAACCGAGCACATGCGTGCCTATGTGCAATAAAAAGTTGTTCCAGATTTTGTGTTTGTGTACGGAGCACAAATTTGTTTCCTCCCTTGCCTATCGAGCAGCCTTTTAGTTGGAACCTTCAAGCCCATTAACAAGTCGACGTTGTCAATTTGTTGTAAATATGTAAATACCTGTTCGTTTAATACCTTGCTTTTGTCATCTATACGTACACTGTAAATACAAAAATAATTTTGCCTATAAGATGTAATAAATAGAAAATGACGTTTTGTTAAGAACAAATCAAAAAACCAATATTCAAACCCCAGACAAAAAAGTACGAACGAAAACCAAAGAAAATAGTTGACAAGTCGAAACAACTTTTTATTACATTCCAGCCATCTTCGGGTGTGAAGCCTCCGTGCTTAAAGCCCATGCACTTCAACCAGTTGCGTTGTAGGCTGGAAAGCAACTCAGTTTGCCGCTAGGATCAGTTGAGGGTTTAAGCGACCTATTTTCTCACGACTCTGCGATTTTTTGACAGTCTTTTGTCTTTCTTGAATGCACCCCAGGTGTTTGTGTAGTAGCGTACCCCAGTGTGGGCGATAAGAATTTTAAGGGGGTTGAGAGTATTAAATGTCTCTGTTCCAAGGCCCAGGAACTATGTTGTGATGCCCCCTTCCCGCGAATTATGTTTGTCAGGGGCGAACGAGGGTTTTTAAAAAATAAATTATATTTCCCGCTGATGAATCTAACTACCACTACAATAGTTGATAGCTATCTGATTGCCAAACAAAAGGTACAACGGTTTTTATAAAGTCGTATAATAGGAATACACACATAAGCTAATTCTTAAGAACCATGGAGGACCTATCTGGCTGCATGTATGAGATAATTCTAAGTTTTCTAACAACGGTAATATAAGGATACAAGATAACGCCAAGATGATGCAATATAATAATTATATTGTATAGAGTGAGCAAAAGTACATAACTCGCGGGGCCCTGCGAACGTTCAGGTACGGCTTGATTAATAGTCATGTATTTTTTCAGAATCGAAAGGAGTGAGAAACGGAGCTCTCACAAGAAGCTTGAGCAGGCTGTCTGAACAATCGGAGAGAAGGCTGAACGATAGCCGCGACTCTGATGCAAGTTTACTCAAAATAGTTAACAACGTGTCAGAAAAGGTACAACTCTTCTTTCTTTATTTTTTAAGAAAGAACCTATATTTTATGTAATTCACAGATTAAGAATGCTTCGTTTCCAAGTTTTGATTCCGACACGAGTTTCAAAACAAAGTCCAGCAAGTCCACCAAATCCAGCGCAAGAAGTTCACCAATAATTTCAGGAGCTCGAAGGAAATATCACATACCAAATATAATGAAGGTAATACATTTTTACTTCCCACGCCACTCGAGCGGATGTTACATGACATGTACATCACAAAAATTTGCTTCGGGCTGTCTGTCCTCTTATCTTTAACTCATCTATAAACTTGGAAAGCCCCACTCGGATTTTGATGAAATTTTGACAGTCTCTTATTTGCCAATGACGAAAAAACTTTGTAGCTTCTTAATAATGATCCATTGGCGGCGAATCTAGGGGCAAAAAACGGGGATCTTAATATTTGCCGATAGTATAAGTATACGCTAACCTGATGCTTCTACGTCTCCAAGAATTTTTGAAAAGGTAGCAAATTTTGTCAGATGGAGCCAAATCTTGAAAATGGTGCACAAAACTATGCTAAATACGCAAATTTTAGGAGTCAGATTCTCAGGCGAGACAAGCCTGGGGCTGCAGACTAACTGTATGGGCTTATTTATTTGTCCGACTTGACCAATTGAATTCCTTTGCTACTAGAGGCTAACCTATGCCCAACATAATCTTTTATGAACTGACGACGTTGCATGAGAAGTGCAGCCAACATTCTTGACGCCATTTTTTACCCATGCTTCACAGCAGCGCGGGAAAAGCGCATATTCTAAGCTCTTAGTGTTTTTACCTGTACAGTGTAAAAATCATTCAATACCATACCATTTTTTGACCTACATGTATACAGGGTGTCCGCAAAGTTGGGGTTTTCCTTTACACGACGTGTAGATCTTGAAAACATAAGCAATTTTTCTTAGTACCATATACACCAATGTCTTAAGGGAACCGAGATAAAGGGCTCTGCAACATCAAAAATATCTGAATACCGTCCTCTAGCCGCGACATCACGGAGTGGTACAATGTCACTGGCTCAACCCGACGACAGAACTGGGTCGGGGTCAGTGTGTCAGGTCAGTATGCAACCTTCAACCGACGGTTACGGTCACGCCTGTAGAGGTAATCGCGTAGACGAGAATCACTCGACAAGCTCTAGAGACGTGGATAGAGAAGTGCAAGTATCAAAAACTAAAGTGTGGCAAACGCTGCGTGAAGAGGGGCTGTATCCGTTTCACGTCCAACATGTACAAGCCCTTCAACCTGACGATTTTCCAGCAAGAGTGCGGTTTTGTGAGTGGTTGTTGCATCAACATGACAATAATCCGGACTTTTTGAAGTGCATAGTGGTGACAGACGAATCTACATTCACGCGTAATTGGGTGAATAACTTTCGCAACACTCATGTTTGGTCAGTAGAAAATCCGCACGCTGTCCGTCGGTCACATTTTCGGTGAATGTTTGGGCTGGCATGGTGCGTCTGCTCGGTAGCGCATCAGCTGATTTCATTTTCTGTTGGAGCGGTATGATTTCGGGCAGAGACGTACTTAGCCCTTCTCGTCAACTGGAGAGTGAGTACTTTTTCCTTTATTTTTTTTACTTGGTCGCCCTCGTTTCACTACACATTACCTTTGTTATTTCAAGGGTAGTTGTTTCTGAAAAGGAAAACCCCAACTTTGCGGACACCCTGTATAGTCAAAACCACGACAGATGACTATTACGTCATACCATAAATTGTACTGAAGTAATCAATGGAGTACGTCGATGATGAAATCATGATGTCAGGAACATAATGACAACACATTTATATTATGATTTTGCGAAGTTATGTTATTTCACTGATTATTTTTATTTTTTTTATTTCATGGTTTTGAGTGATACCTTAATAATAATTTTAGAGGGGAGTTTTTGTTTTGAAAAAAAACATTTATGAGTAGAATACCTTAAGACAGGAACACCAAAGACCAAAGTATTATTAGAAAACAACCTAACTATTCATCTTTCAAATATGATCGATCGATCATTCAACATAAAAACATCGTCTATCTGTGTCGGATACATGTAAATTAGCAATAGTTTGTTTAGACAATAAAATTCTGTTTGTCTCCAACATATCAGAAACTTTATTAAATATATTCACAAATCGCTGTCGTTTGTCTTTACTACAGACTAAAGTGATGACGGAATCGTCATCTTTCGTGATTTCGACTATATACAATGTACATGTGAGATCTTGCAAACTAATTTATCTATCTGAATGACATTGACCGATAAACTATACAATTTAATATTAGGTCCAATTTTTAGTCATATTCAGTCGCAAGTATGGATTTCTTGTTATGTAATTAACATTTACGTAGTATGTACATGAATGTGTACTTCTGCAGGTTTGATATATGTTTGGATTTCTGTGTACATAACAAAGGTCTTTAATTTAAATTGATGGAAGTGGTAATATTACTTGATGTTTGATATGATCTCTGCACGTTGATCCGTAACTGAAATTTGTATAATTACAAGCCGTGTTTTGTAAAATGAAAATATTTGCCAGACGCTACCGAGTTTCCCCAGAGCATAGTGCCATATGTATAATGTGACTACGGAACATGCTGAAGTACATTACCCTCAAAGTATGGGTAAAGAGGCATCTAAGCTGCCTAAGAACAAATAATTGCGTAAACGTCTAGAATGTAAATAATCAATGTGGGGATGTCCAGTTTAGTCTGGTATCGACATTCAATAAAAAAAAAATGGCTAAACGAAAAAGAGCGGGGTTACTGTCATCGATGTTAGAAAAATATTCAGCTACCTGGTTTTCTTACACGATTTCACCTAAAGACAAGGAATACTATTTTTTCTTTTTGTTTCAGAAACTCCGAACCAGACAAATACAATCGGACTGAGTTATTTCAATTTTATTCCTAACACATCAATTGTTTATTTATAATTTGTACAAAGTTTTTACTGTTTGAACAAATAAAGAGTATCACATGTGCCAATGGTGTGTATCTTATTCTTCAATGATTTGTCATCTCTGACAGGGAAATGTCACGAAAACCTTAGTTTTAGTCATTTAAATAATGGCTGATCGCCTTCTGCCATGATACCGCAAAAGTAACAACTGATTTTAGTTAATTTTCAAATGCCCATTAAGAAAATCTCAAAGCATTTTATAATTGACTTATCTGGTCAATGATATTTATTAAACTAATACCAACTCGTTTGAACATGCTCTTGAGAAACGTTTTCCATCATATAAACATACTCAAAATTTTACAAATAAAAAGCAAATTAAGTGTCTGTGTGCTTGTTGCATTAGCAGTGTTCAAAATTATTTTTGATGTAACCTGAAACTCTGAATCCTGTGGTTTTCATGCTGGTACAACTGAATGATTTTCTGACAAAATAAAACCACATGTGTGAATTATTTTTTACTGACGTTTCGGCCACCACTGATATTTGTCAAATTAATGACAAATTGCCATTAATTTGTACTTTGAAAAAGGCCACCATGGGGGCCGACAGGTCAGTAAAAAGTAATTCATATACATATATGAGGTTTCATTTGGCCTTCCATTATTGTTCTTATTCAAGTTTAATAATGGAGGTGGGGTGTATCGGGGCATGAAATAAATAGAAGCAGTTACATTTAAGACAACCTTTATTACTGAACGCATACTGGTCATTTGGGTTACAAGTACAGAGCAAAACAACAATCTGTTGTTCAAAAGCACATATCCTAACTTATATCCTAGGTGCCCATCTGCACTGTTTGTGTTTTATATGTAAAAATCGGTAGACATGATTGGACTATAGGCGTAATTTATTATTAAAATTTAGAATAAAGATGTAATAGAACAGTGCAGTCGGGTAGTATATTTTTTTATATATATTTTTCAGCTTATACAGTTTTTTTAATAGTTTTTCTACAACATACATTTGAAATCTTACAATATATTATTGAAATGTATTTTTATGTGGTATATATGAAGGGTGTAGTACATGTCAATTTGATTTTCTTAGTTTTTGTCTAAGTTTGATATCACCGTGACTTCGCGGCCTGGTCCCCTGAGTTAACCCTCCCAAAATCGATCAATAATCGATTTCTCAGAGATTCACACGTATAAATTCAGATCAGACCTAGCTGACATCAATGCGTACCATTTTTTCACTGAAGACGTCCATATTTTAACATTTATCCAACCATCACCTAGTTCTAACTTGGCTATTACAACCTTTACAAAAAGCGTTCGATGATGATCAATATGCACATTGAAAACAGTTGACATGCCATATTGAGAAAACCTTCAGCTAGTTTTCAACAATGTAATACTTTTATTACAAGTTAGAACCTTTAGTGTTTAACATAATCCTTGTGTTCTCAGTAAACAATGTACTTCTCATTTAGTGTTTTTATAATTGAACAGTCGTACGATATACATTGTCACTAATCTCAGTGATGTAACTATAAAGGTAGCATAGATGCGATATTTTTTAATAAATTGTCAGCATTATCACATATTAGGATCTGTTAATGAAGGAAAAGAGCTTGGATTTCAGCACAAGACATTGCCAAAGAAATAAGAACCAATTTTTTAGTTTCTTTGACAGTATGTCTCGCCGGATCCATATCGAAGCATTGATAAATATTGCCTTATCCGAAAACTATGATTCAATAGATACTAATACAGTTTTTATGTGAACGGAAAAATAAATTTCTATTAACACAACCATAAGGTACAGGTAAATCAACTCAGTCAAATAGACGATCACTAGGCAAATTAAGAATTGGAGTAATATTCTATTTTTTAAATAACAAAAACCACTCTCGAACGAACAAAAAATGACTAATAGCCCTAAGATGATGACACTTCTGTTCTTTTTTTTATCTTTAACAACTCAACATATACAATAAATAAAATGCTATAAGAATGGAATAACTGTTCAGGCAATGTTGGACTAGAAGATTAAGGAGGGAACTTGTTAGGCCATTTGTTACAACACAAAAAATTCTAAGTCATGTGATGCTATTCGGTAATGGTAACAGGTTTTTTGTTTACATTTTACAATAGAAACTAATTTTGCAAACATCATATCTATATATTTAAAAATTATCTTATACGTGTTTATCATATCACAAACATAATTAATTATCACAAATCAATAAAGCGAGATTGCCCGCTTTGTCGAAGAGGATTAAGCCGAGGCGATTTAAAAAACAATCATGATGCGGATCATAGACATTTTTCATCAGTTTTGCTAGAAATTTTCATAAAGTGATAGTGAAAAAAGTTTCTGAATACAAGTTTCATAAAAAGTTATATCCAGAATCTCGTATCGGAATCAGTAAGAAATCCTTTTGTGTTGACTAGACCCGATTGGTATTAAAAGCGGGCATTCTCTTGGAATTTTCAGTTCTGGCAGTAAAATGTAAACAAAGTACTATGAAATCGAAAGTTCTAATCCGATTTTCAAACCCATATAAATAATTGTTGAGAAACTGCAAAGCAAAACATTTTTAAAGCAAATAAAGTTAACACAAGTATAGCATATTATGTATAATAATCAACCCAAAACCGACTAAATAGAATAAATCTATGCATGCTACAATCAAATATAAAGCCAAAGCCAGATGTTTGGAGAAAAGTTTCACTTGTGGATATATCATGAACCTTACCAGCCAAGTTTTATTTATATTTTCTTTGATTCATTTAATACTATGTTTTTTTTCTTAAATATATAATAACACATTGACTAACCTATATTAAGTATTTTACATTATATATACTATGAAATTATAACAATTGTACAAATTCAGCCAATATATACACATATATATTGCATTTATAAGTTAATATACACAGCAAGTAAGCGTATGCGACCCGTGTATGTATACGGATCGTTGTGAGCAAAAGTTTTTTAAGCAAACAATTTTGGCACGTTCATAATTTCATCTAAATCCGTCTTTTCATACATATATATATAACGTTGGACAGAGAAGAGAACCACTATTTGGAATGCATTTCATATTAGATGGTGAAAGAGTCTGTTTGCCTATAGTATCTCTGTCCAATATTCATTCAAATTTTTTGGTAATTCCGGACGACTTATGTATTTTTTGGCGTCGTTTATTATTCAAGATAATGTATTGAGAGATTCTTATTGATGCACAGAAATCAAAAACAAAGCGCTTACTGACTTTTTTCATTAAGAGCACCTTTCGTATGGACCATGTGTGTTCTCTTTAACATCCTAACTAACCTGTGCATTAGTATTATAATATTACCTAGATGCAATGTTTCTCTGAATCGACCTTCGAGTAGACAAGAGATTTACCGACTGCCAAAGATAAAAACTTAGAATATTCGGTTCTAAAATATATCAGACTTGTTAAAGGTCAGGAATATGACTAGCTAATACTCTTGGGTGCATTTTTGGCATATGTGTAATTATTTTTATGGAACTTTAAATATAAAAATTGAACTCTCAATAGCTGCCTGACTACATAATGTTTTTTTAATTTTGTGTTACTCTGCCATACTATTTCAGATAAAAACAAAGCTAAGTCACCACTCTGGTACGTATTTATTAGGATGCAATCCTAGTTTGGTGTCCTCATACGAGCTGCTAGATATAACAGTTTTTTTCACTTCAGGACCAAAGTTTGACAAGTAGATGAGTACTTAACTACAATTCTTATCAAATGTCTACTCGAACGGTTACTTCAATAACCTGATAGCCCTACATTCTATCTCAGCCATTTTATGGCTCTAAACCATTCTCGTAAACCTAGCTTATATATATATATATTCTATACAGAGAGCACACTTCTTGTCAATATATAAGGCAATTTTATTTTTGATAGATCCAATCTAACGAAAACTGACACCCACTCTCTGGCCAGTCATTCTGGTCTCATGTCAGATAGGTTATGTTTCAAATATCACAAACGAGTTATTACGTTCAACAAATGATTGGAACACTTTTCAAAAGCTTTTGTTTCAAGAATGATACGCTCCATTTACTTAGGTATGTTTAACAGTACCGTATTGGTATACATAAACGTGGTCCGAATATTTGGCACATAATTGAAACAGCAATCTTAAAGTGAACATGATGAGTACTGCAGAAAATTAAGTCCTATATTAAAATCTATGATTACACTGTAACTATAGCATTGAACTGTCGTTGAAAAGAAGGGTACAGTAGAATTGGCAATGTTGCCATGAGTTAATTATTTCTGAATTTGAAGCACACTGAAAAAATGAATTGGAAGTTCGAAAGATTGTATAATGATTGGTTGGATAACGTAAATTTCATGTGATTTCACCTCTAACGACAAAACGTATTTAATTTTCTCTAAATGCAATTTTAGCATAAAAATACAATGCTGTATCATATATGAAACAAATCACCCTTAAAAAGTTTTAAAGGTTATGGTGTCAAATCACATTTCAAAAAACATCTGACATGTACCCGCTGACGGGACTCGGTGTGTCTTTTTGAGTATCGAGATGAGAACAAATAACTTGTTTGAAAAATAAATTAATCAATAAATATAATGCTTATTCAAAAGGAATGTAAAACTGAATAAAAACCTGTAAAGTCTTATAAATCTAACAGTAATAATAAGTCTACACCTGAGAGACAGAGGGCCTAACACGATCTTTTTTTTTTCACTACTACCCCACAGTGTGGCTACCCTTATGCTATGCATCATTCATTGGTTAGCTTCAACACAGCATGTTTTAAGGTATTTTATTAACCTACTTTTAAACTCTTTACATAGGACATACATAAGTTTCATTTAAATCTTTTTACAAATTGGCAGTACCCAGCTAGCTTGAATCTCATTTGCAAGAGATCGAAAAATCAATACCTCAATAAACTTTGTACAGTTAGACTTTTGACAACAAATGTAGAACAGATGGCAACAATGTAACAATGCGGTCGGTATTATTGAAGTATTAAATAAGGGAAAGCTAGTATTAAGCTGGTAGTCACCAACCCTAGAAAAAATCTGATAAAAAATTTTCACGAAATTATGAGTGAAAAATAAAATCTGATTGATATTTTGTGCGATATTATAGACACTATAAATAAATGATTTTATTTGTGCATAGATGAACTGTGAAAAGCTATAGACGACAGTTTAGACAGCATTAAATTTTGGAGTATGTAAAAGAAGTATCATATCCAGTAAGCATTGGAACAAAAATGGGGGATGAAAAAAAAAGTCACATTTATTTAAAATTGTCCTTTTCCAATAGTATGTGACTGATAGATAACATTTTCATGATTTTTGAGAATCTCAACGTTTCTATAAAAGCAACCACTGTTACTTCATACTTTACTGTATATCGGGAAGGGCTCTACTCTTAGTTGAATCTATATCAGTTAGTTGGTGCGTCAGGTATGGTAGTATCAAGTGTTGCCAGTGTACCATATTTTGTCAACTAGCTGTACGAAGTTCTACATTCAGTGGAATTTAACCCCACGTTACATGAGCAGGTAGTTATAGTAAAAGAAAACAGTATGTTCTTTCTCATATAAAAATATCGATTTGACAGAACACAGGTATACTTGCTCATGTAGTTCATACAAATCGAACTGTACGTCTTGTAAGTACTACGATAAATTACTAATTTGAATTTATACAACATGGTGGGGCTGGACCTTAGTATTTTTGGTTTGTTTTCCTGACCGTTCGATTTGCCTAAATGTTTATAACCCTGTCTAAGAGTCAGGCCCTATACTTTTAAATTGCACATATATAGGCACTTCAGTTTGTGCATAACACACGAATTTTGTTGGTCAACCCGTTCAAATGTCAAGGTATTGCTATAGTTTGACATTTTAAGGCTTTCCAATGAAAACTCGAAGAGTATACCCTTTTATTTAGGTCTAACAAATAAAAGTGGTGAAAAGGAGTCTTGATAAAGAGAACGTTATTAAAATAAAGTGTAGCTCAGTGGAATAAAAAAGCACTAAATAAACTCGACTATCACAACCTCTGATGGAAGATTTTGGCGGAAAGATAAGAGTGATAGATTTCTTTTTTTAATTTAAACAAACATACATATGACACTTCACGTCTTTGGTATTTGATGAGTTACAATTAGAGAATGGCAAGAAATCAATGTGCAGTTTTTAGGAAAATTCTGGAAACACTGAAAAAAAATCTAAGAAATAATCTGCATCTCAACTTTTTTAACTTCAAGCATTCGGATTTACAACTCAAGATTCAAATACATCTCATGTGTAATGCTACAGAGAAACTATTCAAGCTTGTTCTTATGGTGTGTCAGATGAATCTCAGTTGAGAAGCAAATTTTTTCATAAAACTATAAACGTGATATCAATAATTATATAGTATGTATGAATATAGTTTTTGATTAACTAAAAATACCTTGCCATACTTTGGCATTCCGATAATAATATGAATATATTTCTCTCAGAAACCCAACGAAACTGCACTCAACATTTAGAAACTAGAAAACGAAAGCATAATTGGTAAAAATAATACTTGGAAATAAAGAGGAAAAAGTATTGCACGTTGTATGACACAACTATTGTAATACTAATTTGACAAAAATGCTGCCATTAAGTAACAATATGTTTAATTTAAGTAAACTATCGTAAAACTATACCCACCAACCGATTTAAGACTTAGATCAGACAGTGTAATTTTTTTGGTAGGCTGACTATGGTTCATGCTATATCCATACAAGTTTGTTTTTATCATTCAATTGTCCTATAAAAATATTGTAAAAAATTCTTTCGGGATACATGAGAATTTATTCAGTTTCTTTAAGGCATCTTGACGTCAATTACAAACTGAATAAATAATAATCCAAGTTAATATCAAACTACTTTTACCTCACATTTAGTTTAAAGCTTAGGTCTGTACGACATTTATATGGGATAATGAGACCAAGCAGGTCACGAGTTCTTTTATTCCTTAATTTTAAGAGATTTATCATTGTTATATATGTACGTTTAATACAACAATAATAGTCAAGAGGCACATCATTTTGGTATTATTGAATATGGTGAACATTGCTACTATTTTGTTTCATCTAATAAGCGGCAGGCGTGTATGTGTTGTGTTTTGATAGAAATTATGTACTGTCACTGATATTCGCTATTTGATATTGCAAGTAGAATAAACATCGAGTCAAATCACGTCAAGATGGTCTTGATACCGTATATTGAAGTGAGATAGTAATAATTGCACACAATGTCGTCGTTGTCTCCCACACGTCAATTTCAATCATTAGATATTGCGGGCAAGACCATACCAAACGTCAACAGACACCCGAATGCTTCTCTGTTGAGTTACTTATTTATGCAATGATCAGATGTCAGATTAGTGCTGCTATTATCAAGTCTGGTCACTGATCACAGAATCCGTACGAAAATATGAAAAATTTTGATACTGTAGAGATCAACGACATCCATGATTTTGAAATCGTTAAGCGGCACAGCTAGGATAGAACACAAATCACTTCACTTGCTGTTTTCAGTTCCATTTTTTCTCTCTCAAACAATATGTATCCCTCGTCGCACCGAAAAGTATGATAGAACACAGAGAAAAGTACAACGTCATGGCGACTTTTACCGGGCAGATCAGTCAAATCCGAAAATTCAATCTGAATCATTGGAATTTTTCCGATTTCAGCTTCATCATAAATGTTGTTGGGCTCTGCTGTAAAAATCCAACGTTTTAACCATTTTAAGTGTCCCTCTTGGAAGAATTTGGATTTGATTTTTTAAAATGCGGCGACAATACTTGAAATGATTAAAACCAAAATGGACCGAATGAGAGAGTCCTAAAAGATATTTTATTGCCGATTCATAAAAATAACGTTTTTTTTCCCTCATTTATCACTACAATATCTTTAAAAATAGTTAAAGTATATATATTATTCTTTTGGCAGACTTTAATGTGACCTTGTGAATGTTGAACATTTATAGGAATGTGAACCAGAATAAAAATATCTCAACTTAAAAAGAGTCCAGTAACTATGGCATATTTATGGTATAATGATATAGCTTCAAAAACAAAAAACATTCCATTTTTTTGAAAGTCAACACACATAGTTACACTTTGGCATTCTGAAAGTCTTAATCATAGATTTATTAAGGTTAACAAACAGCCAGTCCTCTGAAAGAGTGTAGTTATACATATATATTGCCAGCGACATACAGACCAAACTGTCATAGAATCCACAATCACGTTATTATTTTCGCTATGTAAGAGAAATTAACTTACTCCATGTACATAGTCTCAAGACCACATGGAACAATAAAATTATTAGTGCTCCTTTTGTCAGTTTTACGGCTAATAATTTAACGATCTGAGGTACTCTGGGCAACTCACAGAATGACGAAATTGTTTGAAGCGTTTGAGCTCCACAGTGTGGACACCGCCCTAAGTACAATAATATGAAGAATCGAATTTTTAGATTCATTGACAGTTTGTCTATAAAATTTGGTTGAATCTAAGCGACTGCGTGAAAAGGAAGAAAGATACGGCAATTAGTATTAATTTGGTTTTTCCCCAACGCGAGTGGCCTACATTCCACGGTTTTTTAAGCTCAGTAAATCTTACAACTACCGAACACCAAAATTACCCTAGTCTAAGGCGGATATGCCGTCTATTTACTGTATAGTTTATATAATATAATCTGTAATATATACGATATATATATATAGTTCAGTGGCGAATGATTATACATATACTTGAAAACGCAAGTGGCACTTAGATCACAAATACTGTAAACCTAAATCAAATGCTAATTATTTAGTGTTTTGGGGAGGCTCTGACGGACATTGTATCAATTTTAGTCGACTCTGAATTTCCCATTGTATACTAAGATACTTGCAAGACATATTAGTTTTTGTCTCAGCTCAGTCTCCTTTTCATGGGCTTTTTAGTTCATCCTTAAACAAGACTTCTTCAGTATTCCATGATGTTTGTCATAAAGGACAGAGGTCAACAGTGAATTCTGAAAAGTGTCCACCAAGATTGACACAAAGATGTATCAAGGACCTTCCCCTCTCTCCGCTTTGTCGTATTTTCCTTATTTTCCAAACTGGCTTGTGTATCGACACGTTAAGATTTTTACGTATTTCTTTATCATTTTTAAAAAAGTGTCGTTCATAAAGAAACGTTTCATTGAAGCTAATATTGCAAAGTTCCATCAGGTAATGAATTTGTTGTTTGATCTGATTTGTGAATATTGTCGCACAGCGATTTTTTTGAACGCAATCCCTATGACGTCTTGTATTCCTTTCGAGCGTTTTGACCAATAATTACACATACACAGTAACAACAGGTGAGATTTGTGGTCTCGCCGACTAGAAACCCAGACGCACGTTGGGATCTAATCTTTTTGTCACATCAATTTTTCATATTCGTTAATTCATACTTCAATCAATGTAAGACAACCCCAAGGCCTGGCAGAAAAACCATATCCATATGTTGCACGCCAAGATATGAAGTTTCCAAAGCATTTCAATTTTGGAGATATTCGAAGAGATCGGATATGATGAACTCGTATCTCTAAGCAACATTTTGTGGGTCTTTTCAGCACTTTAACAGTGTCATGATTAGTTGTCTAATTTCGCCTCATTTGATTGTATCATCAGGAAAATACAATATGTACAAGTTAATGTGAAGTACCTGGCAAAATACAGAAGCTTTCGAAATGTTTAAATGGAAAGAAATGCAATTTATTACATTTGAGGTACGTAATTTTGAATAAAGGCATAAATACTAAATCATACCGTCAAATCATGAGAAGGTTATATTTTAGAGCTACATTTGTCACAATTTCGAAAGTTTTCTATATTTTGAATAGCACTTGTTACAAAGGATTTTTGTCAGTGAATGAACTTATTGCGCAAATGCTAACACTACATTTTGTAAAGCTGAGCGCCTCAACCTAGGTATTTTTTGGATTTTTTTTTTTATTAATTCATTACTAAGTCTAACTTTTCTGAGAAGGTACATAATATCAGACACAGAAGAATCAACATTGGTGAATCATTCGACTCAAGAGTTTCAACCACAGTTAATTTTTTATGCACACAGTCCTATCTTGTATATAAGTTAAATAAGTGAAATCACAATGGTCAGGTTCAGCAAAACATCAATTGCTGATGAGCATACTACGTAGGAATTACGCATATTTTAGTTGCCGATTCAAATTCACCAGGAATGAAGGAACAAAGCTTTTATTTTCATAATGAAAATAACTTTAATTGCCCTTTATATGAATTTGACTCAAAAGCTATTAAGGAATCTTTAGTGTTACACACCAGCAAATCTTAAAGCCTCTGAAAGCACATGACTCAACAGTGTACTGGATCCTTCAAGATTTTTATTCAATACAACTGGTGTACCTGAGCACGTTTGGATATATGTGAAACAAACAAGGAAATAGCGACATTGTGAATCTTTTAGCTAGAATTTCTTGACAATATGATCTTACAATGATAGGAAAACGAATCTAACTCCACAATATTTGTCATCACTTAAAATAAGATATTTTTACTTGATATGCTAATTTTTTTAAGAATGATATGCGAAGGGTACTAGAAATTATATATGTAAAACGGACCAACTTGGGAAGTTAGAATTATGGAGGAATGATACATTTGATATTGTTATTTCGAAAATTGTAGGTAGTACGTATTTTCATTGCCCTAATGTTAAAGCAGCAGGCTCACACTTCTGCTTCAAGCTACCCTGATTATTTCACACATGTCCAAAAATATGCATCAGTGCTTTTATCATGTCCTAAAAACATTTACCAAAGTAGTGGCAAATGGATCAGGCCAAAAAACTAGCATGTATACACTGTTTTACTCGTCTACTCGATAAATATATATTCACTTAAAACTATTTTTCGTTAGTCAAAAATATCTTATGATAATTCGATTAAATAAAAGAATTTCTCTATAGCTTTTGGTGCTTGTTATTCTAGAAGTCTAAATTCTTGGATTTATTTTAGATTGACGTATACCTCAATCATTGCCTTCCGTCAAAACATGTCAATTATTATGGCAAATATACATACACAGACTGCATCTAAAGATTTTACACTTAGGGAGTTTCATCGATAGTGAATGATGATGCCCTTGTGTTTCTATTTACTCAATACACCGAGTTAAATGTCCCATTCAGAGTGGTTGTCATTATATAAGAACACACAACATGAAACAATATACCCCTATTACCAAACTCTTAAAATACTAATTTTTAATATCAATATCTATATGTACAGAGTTGCCTAAAATTATGGTGTATAGAATCCCACTCAACTATCTAAATACTGAACGAAGTTCTATTTAAAGTTGTAAGAAGTAAAAACTAAAATCGAGAAAACAAATTACAACACACTTTTTGCACATAAATGTATTGTATACAAATTATTTTGATGCGTAGCTGAACTGTTTGTTCAAAATTTTCATAGAAACATACGGCGGAGGGTGATTTTGGATGTGTAGTTAAGGGACGTTCTCGAGGCTTGACACAATCAACAAAACGCGTTGAATTACATTAAATCTTGGCACCAATTTTTAAGATCTACAATGCCTCACTAATGGCAACTCTGCTAACACCAAGAACTAATAAGATGTACCACCAACTTTTACCTCCAGAACATATACACACACCACATTCTCTATGAAAACTTTTTACAAATTAGTAAACACATTGGAGTTTTTGTCAAAATATGATGATGTTGGTTGTATATAAGTCCCATACTTTTAGACAACGATGCAATATGGACTAAAGCTAGATTTAAATTGGCAATAGATACTAGATTTAGAAGTTCTATTTGGAACTTACAGTTAGGCTGCTAGAGAGGTCTAAAATAAAGTCTTTTATTTTTATGTATATATCCAAATTAAAGCAAGTGACCTTTTCCTCCCTAAGTAACCTATACCACACTTTGCACCACGTTTATGTACGCCTTCGTCAATTTATCAAGTGTTCTACGAAGAAGCTTTTTCCATTTTCGTTTGATATTTGTCATTGTTTTCACTCATCATTCTTACGTTCAACTAAATAGATATGAATTCGCTTTAAGAAAATAATTGTTTCTCGAGATGAACTTGATAAATCGCGAAAGATGTATACAAGCTCCAAAGCTTTCACGAATTTTTTTGTTCATTTTCTACTTATTTTGAAAAAAAGCCACTTAAGAGTCACAGCACAGTTGTGTACTTTAAAACTTGGAACGGCTCAAGAATCCCCAAAGACATATCAAATGACACTGCTGTATTATAGAAATAACCATGAATCAGTAGTTGATGATACTGCACTGGGTGATCAAGAAGCCCAAAATCATTTATATCCTTAGAACGGACAATTTTATTACGGTTTTTCAAAATACAAGTGTTGGTAGTTGTGTGTAAATATGTCATCTTTGTGGATCGAATTTCTGATTTAATGTGAAGCAACACGCTAAAATTCTCTATAAATGCACTGTCGTTAATAATTATAAAATTTTTAAGATCTCTATTCTTCAGTCTTATTTTTTAACTAGTTTTGTTTAAGACTTAAAAAGAGGCAAATGGAAATGAAAAATAAATATGAATTAAAACGAGAGACTAGAAAATACTTTGATAAAAAGCACCAGTTTAAGTGATACTTTTTCAAACTGTTACCGCCAATCTTATTCCGCAAGTATTAGAAAAATCTCACAGTCATGGCAGAATTCACATTTTAGCGGAAAAACAAAACATCTGATATAGATTCGTAAATATAAAACTGCCCGTATCAAACAGGATACTTGGTAAATGCTGTTCATCAAGTGGTATCTGCAAGTCTAGCACCATATGTTTGATATCACAATTCAATGTTGTCAAATAATGTACCTTTATCAGTCTAATATCAATAAACCTGAAAGTGTAGTTTGAAAGCAAGGTCTGACCTTATTACCATTATTTTGTGTTTCCGCTTTCGTGAACTAGATACAACCCTAAACTAGATATTTCCATTTGCCCTTGTTCTACGCGGTAGTCCGCACATTAAAAAAGAAATTCATGCCGCTTCAAATCCATTCGATATACGTATCTCACTCACACTGTTAGCTATAGAAAAATCGATATCTCATGAACACCACGTTAACACGGCGTCTGCGTGTGATTGTACGTTCTGACTGGGTATTTTTTATTCCGAATTCAACCTTTCTTCTGCTAAAATTTTTCATCTGCTACCTCCCGTAAGAACAGTAATCACAGTTTATGGACTAAGAATAACATATTCGAAAGAATCTATGGCTAACATACATTATTATAGTACACAGAAAACAGTTATATATATAGGTATATAATAAACTTTAATAATTAGAACGATATTAATATTGTTATTACTAAATTTATTTAAGAATACTTCATACAGCGTGCAGTCTAAAACTGATTGTGTGGTGTTATTTTTTTCAGGCGGCATCTCATGACGAACGCGCTTTTTTATTCAAATAACAATATTACGATAATTATTATTTTTTGTATGTGTAATTTTACATGATATATATTATATAAGGAATCAGAGATCACAGGTTATGCGGGGGTTAACAAACATCGCCGCGTTATCCACGACACACATCCCTTCATAAAAGGAATTTTCAACAGAAAAAATGAACACCGGTCGCAGGAATGTGTGCGTTGAAACGACGAATTTTTTACTACACTGGGGAGAAAACCAAACACATACAAAACAACTTAGGTACGACGTTAAATCATTAAAAACAACGTTAATATACTAATTATTGTTAATATATATATATATTATATAGGAAAAATATCTAAATATGAGAGAACAAATCTAGACAGTACTTAAATAGCGAACTAATAAATGAGTGTGGTCACATATACATATATTATTATATAATATACTTTATATAACCTTGTTGATTGCGACTAGTTGGGTTACTTGATTAATGTCACGTGCGTTCACAAAATTGAGCGTGTAAAAATCAATCCGTCCCAAAATACACTGAATGAAATATCCGCCAATACGATAAGCTCACAAAATTCACCCTCCAAGCAAAACCGCACATCATCTTCACTGCATAAGTTGCCAACGTTGGATAAACTATCCTTGCTCTAACTCTACTTCCCTATCGAACAGAATTTGAAATGTTTGCAGGGTCTTCCAGTCAGGTAAGTCGTGTATACAATTAAATATTAGCTCTGTAGATTTTAATAAATGTGTTTAATGGATTTAATAAAAAAGCAATCTGATCCAATTTGTTGTATGGATTTAGGTCCGCGGATGGTTTTCAAAGTCTATCTAAAAATGGCACAAAATGCTAGTTAAAAATCTCTCGACTGGCAGTTTAAAGATCACATGTTGCTTATTAAACACCTAAATATCACTAATAAAGGCTACAAGTCTCTAACAGTGCAGACTTAAAACATTTCGAGTTATAAAAACTACATTTGGAAACGTCAGATTGACAATTTTGGAAAACTTGGTCTCTGCCTTAATGTTATGCCAAGAACTTTTCATGTGAGGGGTATATTTGTTTGAATGTTTATAAATACTGTGATGTATTATGCAATTTCTTGTAACTGCTTCAGGATAACCATTTAATGGTTCGTTGTAAACACAGGTACATTACAAAACAGTTTTTTGAAAATGTATGCAGTTGCACATGACTGAGGTTGAACGTGAAGTGTATTTTGTGAGCAGAACGATTTACGAGAAGTATTTTATTGGTTTTGGGACTAAATGGAAAACAAAGAAACGCTTCTGGCAGTCTCTTAAAGTCGAGTCTCTGGAAATCCCTTACGTGTTTCAATCATCTAAAAGTCTTATAACAAAAATACCATCTTTTTTTTCAGGTCGTTTCCGTAATATTGGGAAGAAAATATATATGAAAATCATACTACCCGAAACAAAAATATTCTAATATAATAAATTAAAACCGCCAATTAATCCGTTTTGAATATTTTGTAAGTTTGACCTAGTCTGCGTGAAAATAAAAAAAAAACTTCAGCTTCTAAAACAACAACTAGATAAATCACCGTAAAAATTAAAAATAGAAATACACCTTTTTACAAATAACAATAAAAAATGTGCTATAATACAATAAATATCATCAAAATTGATCCTAGCCAATTAATATACTATAAACTCCATAAAAGCGATTTTCTGATCTGTCTGGACTCAACCAGCTTCGCAAAAAAGAAGATATTGCGTACCCTTACGTACAATTAAAAACCTTCGTTCTATGAATGAAAGTATCGCCAATATTACAAAATGTACAAAAATATATTCGCAAATAATGTCATATGATAGTGATTGTAATCAGAATGTAAATCGCAATTCACATTATGAAAAAATTACACAGGAAATACGCGTATATAATCTTTTCTGCTGGTACAATACCTATTTTTTTCAAAAAATCCACAGCAGATCGATCAAAATTTAACGGTCACGTCGACATGCTTGGGCGCTGCGTTATTTTTGGTATTAGTCAAATATAATCACAATATTACAAACATTTTTATTTTGATCGATAAAATTGTGCTTTGGGACATAGTTTTTCATAGTAAAAGTTGAATTTTTCTAGAATAACTCAATCATTAAAAGTGAAGACATTTCAGTAAAGTGTTTTAGACTTGCCCTGTAGATATTCATGATCTCATCGTTTATTTGAGTAGCCTTATGATAAATATTGTGATTTATGATACGTTTGCGGGTTAAACTCAAGCATGCCCTCGTTAACGTTTCTAAAACAACTTTCACGGCACTTTTTTGAAAAATGTTGACTCGCTTACATCGATTCTCCGCCAAGTAGATCGTTGGGCAGGAACGAATTAAGGCTGGACGGCGTGCCCCTTTGGGCGTCAGAGCTGTCCATGGGCGGGGCCCAAAGGCTGGCCGCCGAAGGGTTATTGGGCCAGCCGGTGCCCCAGGTGTCTGTCGTGGACACTGGTGCTGCGGGGGCCGACTGCTTGTTGGGACCCCCTGCGTTAGAGGCGGCACCGGAGCCGCGCCAGCCGCCGGCGCCCGAGCCTGCGCCCTGCTGGCTAGCAACTTGCTGCAAGAGGGCGCTGGCATCCCAGTCGGTGGGGTTCTCGGCCAGGATGGTCGTGTTGCCGAGAACGCAATTGTTCAGTGCGGTTTGAGCCTGGAAATAAGTGGAAAATGACGTTTAAAATATGATAGAAATGCCGGACTCGCAATGCGCGTACTTTCTACGAATCACAAAGGGACAGATTTAACAGATATGTCACCTAGAGCCATTTTAAAGGTAAAAAAAATGTCAACCGCGTCTTGACGTTCAAGTCGTTGACCAGCTGCTGCAGTTTTGGTGCCTATCTGACATGCTCATAAATCGCGTTTTGCAGGTAAAATGAAACCACATATGTTGGAAATCCAGTTGAATCATATCGTCCATGTAGGATGTGGGAGGGTCATCTGTTCAAGTTGAAAAAGTATCTCATGGTAGATCTTTGTTTGATGATATCCACTCTGATATGGAACCATTAATATTACGCAAAACAGTAAGTCTGGCTTAAGGAATAATTTCTACAGGCATTAGGTTAGATTTTTTTCATAATCTGACAGGAAGTTTCAGAAGAACGCACTATACTTCAAACTTTTCCTTACAATATAGAAAAGGTACAATACTCCCATAGAAGTTTGGGAGTTGTACTTTTAATTAATATATGTAACACAATCTTTTCTATCTCCATTCGTTGTTAGGTTCGCATAGTGAGATCAAACAGGGGGACAGGGTTTACTGATTACTAATTTTTATAAAAAATAAGATCTTTAAAATGTACTTACTTTGATAGCTTCTTCGCGTGTTGAGTATTTGGCAAGAGCGAAGCCCTGATGCAAGTAGAGATGGAAAGACAATAGAGGTCCATGTTGCATACACAGTGTACGCAAAGTAGAGCCGTCAATCTAGAACAAATTTTCCAAGTTAATAAAGAAATTGCAGTGAAATAATGCATCCATTTTTCAATTTTAAAAACAGTACCAATTTCGACTTTTCATTATAGTCAGTTTAAAATTGGAATCATGTAACGCGTTCTAAAAATTACATTACAAGAGTTACATGTTACTATGACATAATATTTTTGGAGGATGTACATCTGTCAGAGACCTCTGAATTGACCGATGTCCATCAAAGATGCCAAAATGTGTGATCTTAAAGCCTCAATCAGTTTCTTATTTCTCCATCGACCACCAATATTGACTTCAGATTGGTGTTCAGCGTGAAAAAGTACATCGGGAAAAAGTTGTGGGGCCCCCAGGCACACTTTTTTTTATGGATTGTGTTACCAGCGCCGCGTTCTCAGCGCCCTTAAAACATCGAACAGTACGCGTGTTCTCCTCACTAAGAATGATCAGAATATGGATAATAAAAGTAATCACCCGTTTTATTCTTTCATAAAAGAGGAATATTCACACATAATTTCAGAGCAGTACTTATATTTGTTATCAAGTTCCGATAGAAGAAAAAATACACGTTTTTTAGTCATCTCTATGCACACCATGAAATTATCAGATGAAAATGATTTAGAATACTGCTACAACCGGGTAAATGAAAAAATCAAAAAAAGGATATGCCACCTCAATATATAGATATCCAACTTCAGCATAACCCAAGTTTTTGCTGGCATGTTTGTAGGTTGAATGCCATAACCATTGTTTTTCTTCTTCACGACAAGCAACACATGAATATTCGATATGAAGGTTTTAACAACTTTTACAACAGATAGTGTAGATCTGGTACAAGTTCTGAGTAAAGCATTCGACTCTGCTCATGTTTCATTTCAGAGAAATGTTCTAATAAACCAAACAATATGGAGAATGTCATGATTAGATAACCACCCGCCATATTGGGTAGAAAATATAGTCCTCTATTGAAAATCAAATATTGTTTCACTCCGACTTTACAGATAGAAAATGATAAACATTAGTGTGTCTAAAAATAGTATTTGTGGATGATTTAAAGCAGGTAATTTCTAATTTTCATCTTTGAGCAAGCCATTCAATACCCCTATATCACAGTGTAGAAGCTTATCATATAGCTACTTTTGTTTGAAATTCCCAATGACTGATAAGTCATAAGATGAATATAGTTTGAAAATATTCTTCAGTTCGCCTAAACAATACATAAAAAATAGTTTAGTTGCAATAAAGTAGAATTAACATAATGGCTGTATAGTTGACAAAAGTTGAATCTTGCACTGACGCAAAGGTTCTTTGGATGCAAGGGTATTTACAATTTTGTTGTATAACTGTTACCTGCACCCTTTATACAACATCTTAAGTGAATGAAGTGTAAATTGTGCTGTGTAAAGAATATTGTATAAACGTTCTTGCAACTGTAACAGAGTGATAATTGAAGCACATAGAATAATAATGGTCTAAATCCACTCTTTTGAAAATTCGCGCCATTCGCATAATAGGTATCAATCTACCTAAATCTATCAGTATAAAGCTAGTCAGTCTAAGTTCTTGTTTCAGTCTCCAGTGAAAAGATGGCGCCATCATACTCTTCTGATTTGAATTCAATATAGTTCACTGTAAAAATGGTATAATCATGAGGAACGTCTGAGGAGGACCATTATTATTTTATGTGCCTCAATTATTAGTTGGGTGATACTTTTTCAAAGATAAGAACGAGAAATTCGAGTTTATGAAATGTGAAGTTGTTTTGCATAAATAGACGAGAAAACCGACCATCCAGCCTAGGTTAAAACCATATTTGCTAAAATTAGTCTTATATGTTAAGTTCATGATAATGTTGTGAATTTTCATTTGCTACTGACACAGTCCACCTACTTGTCATAATAATGAAGTTACAACTTTATAAATCATAGTTAGTTACATATAATACAATACAAGAAACATTGCCCTACTCTGGCTCTGAGGTACAGAAATGTTTTTCAAAGCTGATTTCATCATCAACTGATACGTTGAAAATAATAAATACTTCTTATACTGTACTACAGTACAGATAGATATCGCACCACCACCAATGAAAGGGTCGACCCGTCATGTAGTCTCAATGCAAAATATAGACAATGCAACCAGCAAAGGCACTCATTCTATGCTTTGTATTCCGGCTACTTGAGGGGTCGACCGTTTCAACGATGATGGTGCGACATCCATCTGTCATATTCAACATAAAGGTTGATGAAATCAGCTTTGGCAAACCATTTGTAGGTGGCGGTCAGATTTCTCACCTATTTGCGCATATTCTGAGTTTTTCTAAAGACCATACCCACTTGTTTGTTTTTCGCCTGTATGTCTTCAAGTCTAGTTCTATACCGTCCTGCGAATGCTACAGAACACGGTTCAGCTTAAAGAAGAGGTACTCGGCATCACTAACCACATCGGTCGACATTCTTGATTTCTTTTTTGTTTGATAAATGGCAGTTTTTATCACAACTTACCTGTGCAGTAAGGTTCCTGAGCAACAACCACGGTGAGGATCCGCCCCAGCTGCCGGAACCCCGTTGTCCGGTAGCTGCGCCGCCGCCCCATGGTACTGCCCCACCCAACGAGGCCGCAGTCCAGCCATTAGCGAGGGAAGCGGTACCTCCTTTGGCGGACAGACCGGGCGGGGGGCCGCGAGACGATTTCGGAGCGCCCCACAGCTCGCTGGTGACTGCCGTCGAGGGGTTCAGGTCGACCAGGCCACCTTTCGATGTCGGCAGCTTACCGCCCTGTGGGCTGGAAAGAGAATCGAAAAAATATAATCAGTTTCAGAGGACTTACAGATCGATCGACGGAAATGAGGGACATGAACAGTAATGGACAAAAGTACATAGACAAATATGAATACGTATTTACCTAAATAGCTTTAGAAAACGAATTCATACTTCATTGCCCCATAAACAAATGCGTTATTAGTAGAAATACTAAATTCCTTGTTTTTACATTATCTGCAATGAACACAATACAAGTCTGAATATAAGCACTTTTTTATGAGGGACAAAAATATGTAAACAAATTCTTTTCAACATTAGTACAGTTTCATGTCACAAGAGGATTAGTTTGTGTTCATCAAGTATTGTGGAATAAGTTGAGTGATTTTAAGACCATGCCGCGTGGTCCAGAAATTTCTTTCGATTTGAAAACTAAGATCATTGAGTTATATACAAAGATGGTCAACGTCAAGTCGACATTGCCAAAAATTTGAAGCTGAAGCGTAAAGCAGTTTGGGCAATATTGAACAAATATAAATAAAAAGGTATCTTGGAAGCCTCTAAGAGAAGTGGTCGGCCTAGAAAACTAAATGCTAGATCAGTTAGATTAATAAAAGTAAATAAAATAAAATAAAAATTGTCAGTGTTTCTACGAAAACTATAAGTAGAAGATTAAATGATTTGAAGTTATTTGCACGTCGCCCGAGTAAGAAGCCGCTAATCTCGAAGAAAAACCGTAAGGACCGATTACAATTTGCACGGATGCATCTTGATTGAAGCACCTGTGACTGGAAGAGTGTATGTTTCAGTGACGAATCCATGTTACATATGTTTGGATCAGATGGTGTTCATTACGTTAGACGTCCTAGTGGACAAAGATTGAACCCCAAGTACACTTTTCCCACTGTCAAAACATGGAGGCGGGTCTGTTATGGTTTGGGGGTGCTTTTCGGGGTTTGGGATGGGACCTTCACCTTCACCAAAGCACACTTCAAATCTCGCAAAGAATTTCTTTCTGGATGAAAAAGAAGAAGAAAAGAAACTTTTACAATCTAATCTATGCCGAGACGATGCTAGGCGGTGATTGATAATACCGGTTATGCTACAAAATATTAACACAAACATGGTTGGTTTTCTATAATGCAATGAATTTTGCTTCTTTTTTCTATAATTGTTTTGCTTTGTCTATATATTTTTGTCCTTCATAGTTCCAGTTTTTTTCAATTAATTTTTTATTGAAGGGAGTCTAATGAATTTATTTATGTATAAGTGAGTATTATGCTATAACGAATTATGTATACAGGTTGGTGTATTAATAAACAAGTTAAAAAAGAAATACAGCACAATATTGATTTGTCTAATATACTTTTGTCCATTACTGTATGTCTTAAAGAAGTAAAAGCATTATCTGAAATTCGCAATTACAAGACCTCCGCAAAAATCCGCGAGCGACGGCAGTTATGTTGCTTCGTGAAGTGAATAAACTATGTTCCAACTTGGGTAACTTTCAAGCAGTATAAAGTTATATGGGATGTACAAGTAAACGTTAAAGAATCGTTAGAATGGCCGATACCTTTTGTGACTGATATAGTGGAAACACTTGCGTAAATATTTTTCACTACACAACATACACATTGACTGAAAAATGTATATCCTAGGCTACCAATGGATGATAAATATCTCCATGATGAACGAAGTTCAAACCCATATAAATTCAAATAAAACATGTTTCGCTACAGATGATGGACAATGAATTCATCCAAAAATGACTGGCAACGCTGCATTTATTTCTGATCAAGTTTTTTTTTAATAAGATCATGTGTTCAGATGCTTTCAGCTGTTTTGTGGACGTCATTGTTCTGTGTTACTTTTCTGTCTGTTTCTAATTTAGTTGCCTTGTCTGTCTTCTGTTGGTAGAAAGACACTTTGGGATTATTCCTTTTATTTAGGTGCGAAATAGAAACTCACCTGGTGAAGGAACTGGAAGATGAAGATGGTGGGTTGAAACTCCACGTCGATGAGCTGAGACTGAGCGACTGTATGCCGTCGGTTGCCGGCGGACTTTTGCTGGGGTTCATGCTGAACAATTCATTGTCTTTGATCGTGGCGATCGACAACGGGGAACGCACCACACTACCCGGCGTAATACTGGGGTCGTCTTCGATCGATTTGATCTGATTACCCTACAAAACGAAACTAATTAGCTTTTTAAAAAAGGAATAGATATTGAAATGAGTTGCCAAAAAGCACGAAACAGCTGTCCATGGTTGGCTGTCTGTGGTGGGGCAGACAAAAGATGTATTACAACGGACAGGATTACATTTTCGTGTAATTAAGTTTCATTCCAGGTACGGAATCAAGTACTATACACATGTATATTAGCTGAGGAAGCATCAATTGATAATTCGGTAACACGCATCAGATTCAAGTTGCTATTAAACACAATATTTGTAAAGGATTTTTCAATAACTGCTGTGCAAAGTATTGACGGAATCATTTTTCATTTTGAAGGACCATATATAGTGTATCAATTTGAAGGCGTGACTCGCCGACCAATGACCTAGGTTATGTTAACTTTGAAGGCATCAATGGATTGTAGCGACTCCAAAAAAATCCACAAAAAATTTAATATCAAATCACAATCTTGGCAAGCAGTTCAAGTATTTCTACAAAAGATAAGATCTACGGTTATAACCCTGCCCTCAAAGTGTTTATTTATATATCCATTATGGAGTTTGATCTGTGGCGCAGAGCCACCATCTCACCAACATCAACTTATTAGGAAACCCCTTACTATGTATCAGCAATAACAAATACAGTGGCAGTGAATCTACAATGGTAGGATTTTCCCTCAACTAACTGACCTTGGATTCGACCTTGCTTTTAACCTTGAAGGTTAACTTTAAAAATTCAAATACATACTTTTGATTCCGCTAATAGAACGTGCGAAAAATTTTACGTTCAAAAATAGCGGTTTAAAATTTTGAAGTTGATCTTCACCTTGACTTCTATTTTGAAGTATTTCCCCCTAAAATGTATTCCCAAAGAGTTATCGAGCCGTTCCGGTACCTTTGCCACACCATGTATTGAAAAATGAGTAAAGCCCGTCGAGAAATGTCAGAAGCTGGACAGGTTTGACGTTTGAGGTTTTTTATAAGAAAAAGATATGGCGGTCTGTTACAGTGGTGGCTAAACCAAGTCAAAAGGTGATTCAAAAAACAGATCACAAGACTCACCTTCCACGGTTTTCCAGGTTCAAATTCAGGTACAAGATCAGTCAGGGAGGGTTGTGTGGCTGTGGACCACTGTGCTGCGTCCTTGACGTCGCCAGTTGCGTCTCCGGCCCCCGAATCCGGCCAACCGGTGTCTCCTCCAGCGCGGCCACTAGACCATGGGCTGTAATTCAACCTTACACTTACAGATCAGCATCTTTTACAAAACAGCAACCACTAAGTTTTTGATTATATAATTGTCTCATTCCCACTATCAATGATGATCATAGTATGCTTCATTTTGGTTTTCGGATAATAATCACTGACAAAGTGTATAGGTGCAACTTAAGAGCATCAATCGTCAAGGGTGATCATCTGATTGAATTTGGCGGTTGAAATTGTCGAGCATGAAGTATAACCTTTGATATACCTGAATACTGATGGCCTCTCCTATAAGCTGGATACGGATGCCATTTTTTATACTGAAGCAGCCGCGTAGACAGAAACCTAAATACCGGGGCACCGCGACTGCTATAAGGAACAAGACACGCCTTGTTAATCCGATTTTTTAACTGCCTAAGATTAGCAAATTTGAGAAAAACTTCCTCAGGTAGATTGTTCTACATCTCGACACCAAGCAATGATAACTTCCAGATGGTCAGGGATGACTATTAAAATACTGTAAACCAACAGAGACAGCTATCAAAGTGATGAGAAGTAAAAGGTATCTCAAAAATGCTTGGCAGAAAGAACCTGTAAGGTCATGTTCAACTTTGACACTCAAGTCACATATTGGTAAGTTAAAACACCAGTGAACTCCCCTGACGTACAACGCTCTTGCGAAAATGTCACTCAGAACTAACAAATATGAATGAATTAATGTGATTATAATTTTGAAAACGATATTACATGGATGATTTACCTCGAAGGTGGTGATTCGATGCAAATGAATTATAAAAAATGTTTACATGAGCGATATTTTGTTGCTTATGAAAACTTACCCATCAGTAGGATTCAGTCCCAGAGGATTAATATTAGGCGAAGTAGTCATTGGCTTAGAGCTAGAACCCGGAGCTCTGCTAAAATCGCTGCCATCCTCTTTATCTTTGTTAATCCATTGATTCAGTCTCGATTGTTGTTGGTTCTAATAAAACAATTACAAGTTAAAAAAGTAGACTAATTGAAAAATCGCAACAGTAGGAAAACACTAAGTTTTCTCATATGGATTTTGAAATCAAATATTTTTCATTAATTGGATCCATCTTTTAATCATCGAAAACAAACGGTCATCAAAAGGGACAATAAATGTTTCTCTCTGCTTACCACTTGGTTGTCCTTGTTGATGCCGAGATCGGCGAAATTATTTTGCAGTGCATTGATTGAATCGTGCATTGTATTCGTTTTGAAGTCGTAGGCACCACCCATATTGTTCTGATGTTGCTGCTGTTTCACATAGTTCGCTTGTTGAGCAGCAATCTGGTTCTGTAACAAAAAAATGTCTTTTTGCGCAACTATACTTAAATTCCTCGTAAGGTTTTTATCCCTATGTTTTTAATGATCAAAGTAATGAAATTTTTTGATTGAAAGATTTTCAGACTATATTCATGTGCCATCTGATATTAATCGCACAAAAAAACTACAAAAAGAAGATCCCAAACCTGTAAATTTCCAATCTGTTGTTTGGTCTTTGTGATGAGTACGGAGCATTGCATGAAGGCGTTGTTTGGCTTGCCATTGATCGAATGCGCCGAGGCGATCGACTGCTGATTGATCAGTTGTTGCAGTGTCTTGATTTGCTGTAATAGTTGATTGAGAAGCACTAGGGTTTGAGGAGCTAGTGGTTGATTGAGAATCTGCAAATAAATATATAGCAATACATGAACATGTTATCAATATATTTTTCGTTAACGGTGACGTGAATCCAAAATTGAGAGTAGCACATGTTATGGTTTTTGGATGGTATACGTCACGAACAATCATGTCACCGGTGTCTGTCCGCTAATCGTTGGCCCGTCTATAAGTTCTTAATAATACTGCTCGGATTTTGATGAAATTTCCTCAAACTTCTTTTTTGACGTCTCAGAGACTCCAGGTCATTTTTGGAATATTTTGAGGGGTAAAAAACTGGTAGATTATTACACACATGACCATGTGTAAGTATTTCCATACAAGGCCGATAAGAGAGATACCAGAGCATAAGAAAGTTAACAATGTCAATTTTGTATAATTATTCTTTTTCACTTTTTTAATCAATTTTCTGTAATTTTACATTTTTGTCTATTAAAATGACATTGCTATGCATTTTGGTTATCCATATTTTTCAATTTCACCGTACACATTTTTAAATTCAAACTCTGTTTAATATCACTAATCAATTTATTAAATTTAAATATTCCCGTTTGAAATACAGATTTGCTACTATTACAATTTTGTAGTTGAAAATTTTGTACTGCCTTTAGTTTCATAGTTTTGATAATGAGTGATTTGGTGAAGTTTTCTAAATGCGGTGGTAACAAATGATTTTTTAATTTGAATATGAAAATGAGGGCTAAATAACATACATTTTTTACATTCAACCACTGCAGTTCTTCTAACATAGACTTAATCTTAGCATATTTGTGTTTATTTAAAATGATATTCAAAGTTATAATTTCAATTTCTTTTTTCACTGATATTCATTCTACTCAATGGCCTTGTACAGGGTGTAAAATTAGTAGTGGATCAATGGAAGTCAGGTGATAGAGGGTCTCAAAACCTATCGAATGAACCACTATAATCAAATCCAAGCGAATAACCAAAATTTCTGTGTTATGTGCCGCGGTTATAATATGGTTCAAGATGACACACGGGTTGATGACGTCAGTTACACGAACCGCTTGAACGCGTTGGTTTTAACCGCGGTTTTGTTGCAAGTTGTTTATTTTAGAAAAGCGCGTATATAATCTCTGATTATTTTTATTATCACTTAATAATAGGTGCTTTTTCGTCTACAACTATGTATGGAAAGTTTAAATAAGAAACCTTTCATAATATTCATGGGGAAATGTTTTTTTTTCAGATTTTTTTTTTAATGATAGAGCCATGGCTTTGTAGCTATGGTAACTTTTAATTCTCTAAAGTTTTCAGCATGTTAAAGAAGACATATTGGTTCAGCAGAAATGATGAAAAAGCGATGGAAAAAGATATTAGTAAAACCTTATACAGGTGGACATCATCTAGTGAGTTTATATGGTCATATTTTAATATTCTTGTGGTATATGGCTACACAGGATACTTTGTTAAGCATAGGAACTACATTTAAAGTGTCCCCAACAACAGTAATGAGTACTCGTATAACTAATAAGGTGCTCCACTTTATGGTAAAACTGAAGTCAGCCTGTATCAAGTTTCAGAAAAATGAAGCTGAAGTACAATAACAATATCCAATACCTGGCAAAATTCTAACTTGTCACATTTCAAATAATAACCAGAAATATAAAACTACTCCTGAGTTGGGTAAATACCACAATTTTGCGGTGATAACTATGACATATAACAGCTGATTCATGACGTCACGGATCTTATAACCAAACTGATAATCACACTCGCTTGAACGGATCGGTAAATACCAACCCAAAATGGTAAATACCATTTTCATTTGGTTATCCGCTTGAATTTGATAAATGTGTGGTCCGAAATTTTATAGTTCAGGAGATATTTACAATTTTGTGAAATTTCGATAACAACACGGGATAACGAACTTTCAATCGCAACTAAACCATTAGGTTTAGGGCTGTGATTTTCTTTCGGAGAGCTAAATGGTTAGTTTTAGCAATGGTAATGTTTTTTTAACAGAGCCAGAAATCAACGCAAAAAATTCATTTTTTTGTGAAAAATGTCTTCCATCCCTCAACTTTGGAGGTTGTATTTCATTATTTATTTTATTGTAAAAACTATTTCAATCCATGTAGAATAAACCCTGGAAATTTCAGCTTGCAACGATAAGAGCCTCACCTTGAAAAATCTGTATGCTGGACGTATGCATGTAAACAAGAAATTCTATTTTACGAGCTACAGTCCAAACGACTTGATGGATTTTGACATATGAGGTATTGTTAGATTTGTCCTAGCAGTGCGAGTGATACTGTGTGTATTAACATTTTGTAAAATAAAAATGGCGGATTTTTTACACAATTAGCCAAATCAGCTTAATGAGCTTGGGCATTCAGCTCGGCATTCCAGGTGTGGGAGGATGAAGCAAAAATCAATATTATGGAAAACGCAAATTCATTTCAAAGACTAAAGGACAATTTTATTAGAAGGTGTCGCTTGTGTATAGAAAATAATGGAGGCCGTTTCGAACATGTTCTTTAAAAGTTAGTTAAATTAAATTATCTTCCACATTTGTCGGTAAATCGCCATAAAGAGCGGCTAAATACAATAGCTTCTGTACTTGCAGGTGGTAAGGATTCTATTGCGTTTCTTACGCCGGCAATACACTTGAGCCGAGGCAAGCCGCGCACCGAACGAGGCAGCCTCGACGCGCCGCGATGCGCTAGTGTGTACGTCGCGCCAACACAACTGCGAACAGGCTCGGTTTGCCTCACGCAGTGCGCGACCTGAGCCATCGGCTGTCGGTCCATCAAAGTGAGCACTGACCACTGACCGAGCCGTGCCTTGTTCGTGCGCAGTGTGTACGGAACTTCCGATCAGGATTTGTCTCAGACCGAATATAGTCTATTTTTGGTTATTTACAAATTGTGGCACTAACTTTTGTACTTAAATCTAGGCATTTTTCATTGCTCCACTCCAATCTGAAAGATAAATTATTAATTTGACTTTTATTTCAATTCACTCACTTCTCGCGTGCAAACTCAAGGAAATTAATCAAGCTTGCGTAGTTTTCGTCGACATCTAATCTTCTACAAGTAAACGAAGTAATAAAACAAAAAGAAATGGATATCAAAATGAACCGTTCCACTAAATAAGTAACCACTGAGCAGGTGTGAGCATGCCGCGGCTCGCGTCAACACGTTTCGGTGTACCTATCGCATTTCGTTTCGCGGCAAATCACATTGCGGCGCGCCGAAGCTGCCTCGTTCGGTGCGCGGGTTGCCTCGGCTCATGTGTATTCCCAGCGTTACGTTTATCGCATCACAACAACCAATGTGATATGATACACTCACCGTAGCAAGCTGAAATTTTCGTGGTTTATTCTACATGGATTGAAAGTTTTTACAAAAAAATGAATAATGAAATACAACCTCAATTTTTTTTACCGCCCTCCAAAGTTTTGGGATGGAAGAGATTTTCAAAAAAAAAAAATGAATTCAAGATTTTTTGCGTTGATTTCTAATAAGCTCTGTTAAAAAGTGACGTAACCATTGCCAAAACTAACCATTTAGCTCATCTCAGAAAAAAAATCACATCACTAAACCTAATGATTTAGTTGTAATTGTGATTGAAAGTTGATTATCCCGTTTTAGTAGAAATTTCACAAAATTGCAAATATCTCCTGAACTATAGAATTTCGGACCACACATAGATGGGGTCGTTCGATAGGTTTCAAGGCCCTCTATCACCTGACTTCCGTTGATCCACTACTAACTTTACACCCTGTATATGTACATGCATTTTTGAAGTCAGTGAACATCAAAGATACCAAAGAGTACAAAAGTCAACTCTACTATCATGGTGCATATTCAGATCCCATTTGTCCAGAATTGCGAGGGAAGTTCTAGTAACTAATCCAATACCAACCTGATGATTGAGATATCCAGCCTGCACGGCCATCTGTATCTGCTGCACGAGCATTTTCAGCTGCTGCGTGGACGGTTGCATCTGTGGCTGCATGCTTCTGCCAGCCGCCGCCGCAGCCGCGGCGGCTGCGGCCGCTGCGGAAGCAGCGCCGAATCCTTGCGACCCGCCCCCGCCGGTACCGCCGCCTCCGCCCTGAGCCAGCATTTTCTGCATCACCGCAGGGGAGATATTGTTGATTAGCGAATTGTTCGCTGCACCCGTGGAGCTGTTCATGTTGTTCAGGATGTTGGGGGCGTTACCCGATGGGAAGGCTGACAAAGACAATGTTTAGAAATACTTACATTTGTTTACATCAAAATTTCATCTCTACAATCCCAACTGAATATATATAATATCTGAATCAATTCGAGGTGTTGAGATTAGCTTTCATCGCGATACAAATCCGAATCACTTCCAAACGGTTTTCGAATTATGAGGGATTAATTCCATGTGCATGCGCAGTTCAGTAATCGTTCAGAATTTTTTGAGCACCACGACTGCTTCCAAAGAAAATCAAAATCGGCTGAGATAACGTCATTTAATTTTGTACAATTCTGGATGATATTTTTGAAATGTACTGTGAAAAAATAGCATGGAAAACCGTAAACATTTAAATACAAGTTATGCAAAAAACATGGAATGACAGAAGGAATCATTATCTAGAGTGGTTGAAAATTGAGGAGAAAAAATATGCAACATGCTACGGAAGAGAAGTCCAAAGAGAAATCGGAAAGAGTTTGCAGTAGTGGCCCAGTACCAATAAATAAACATACCGTATTTGTGTAAATATTTAGATAGGTACATAAAAATGTTTATTTTCTCAATGTATTTATTACATAACATCTCTCTATGCTTCATTACCAGCAAACTTCAAATATACAGCAAGGACTTTTCTGTCAGATTTTCTGCTTTCCGACTAATTATTCGAGGATATTCAAAATACACGGACAATTGCGCATGCGAGAACTGTTGATCCTACGGCCGATCCAAGAACTCTGAGAACCAGTTCAGGATTAGTTTGGAACCAGCAGAACTGTTACTGCGATCCTTGAACAAATTGGTTCTTTGACAGTTCTGACTGCATCTCAAACGCTGTTTACTCTGCGCAAGCGCGAATTGCTCATAACCATTCGAAACTGACACCGCGATCCAAGCTATAATAGCTTCATTAACCTTCCAAAGAACTCATTCGAAACTGACACCGCGATCCAAGCTATAATAGCTTCATTAACCTTCCAAGGAACTGACTCAAGCCAATTCTTCTCTGTAAGCCTATCCACGAACTTATTTGTTCTATTTATAAGGGTAAATGGTAAAATTACGAACTTTGTTAACTTTTTAGAAAGTAGGTCAACTTTTTTCAACAATTCACATTCTTATAAAAATAGAAGTGCCTATCTTCAACAGATTACTGAGAAAGAGGTACTCACCACCCGGCGGGTATCCTGACAGCTGTCCTCCAGGCCCAGCTGGGAACCTCTGCCCAGGCGCGAACGGAGGATGATCGTAATGATCGTCAATGTGTCCTCGGCTCCATCCTCCGTCTCTTGAGTTGCGCATCGGGCTCAAGAGATCCAATGCTTCTTCTAAGTTCATGTCGCGGATGCGCAGAGCGTTCTCCACGTCTTCTTTCTGGAAAATTAAATAGAGTTCTAACTGAAGAAATAGTTCAGTACTGATGGAAGGTGTATGTATGGTATAGAAATTCCTCATATACAAGATTTGTAATCAACGAGTAATCATTAATTGGATCCGTTTTCATAATCATTGGAATTTAAATTTTGAAGTTATATTGAAAAAAAAACGACCATAGATTTCCGATGCCTAATGGTTTTTGTGTTTGTAATAGACCGATCCAAAATAAAATCTGAACCACAAATAGCCATTGCTGATTTTTGCATTAAAGATGTATGTCTACAATCGAGTTATATTACTTCAATTAGTGTTTGTTTCTGTGATAATGTATTATGGAAGTGTTTGTTACTCTACTGCATTGTTCGAAGTTACTGCATTTGCAGCTCAAGTTTCTCATATTCGCGAATGCCTGTACCAATAGATAATTGTGTATTCACAGATCTACTAACCTTGTGTCCCATGTCGACTAACATCTTGAATTGCCTAGAATTCCACACCATTTCCTTGGTGAGCTGAGGCTTAGTGGGTGGCTTGTGTCCCCAATCTACGTCTGCGTCCCCACCACCGGAACCCCAACCTGCACCACCTGCTCCAACCATTTTTTGCTTTGGTGGCCAGCCTCCAGCTAGAAAAAAATGATTACTTGGGAGCTGTGCTACAAGTGTCGGCAGTTCTGTTTTAGGCGCAAAATAAAAATCCTTATAATCCACCGGGTACGGATTAGCCCATCCGTCTGCGGAAATATTCACCCCTCTAAGAAACATGATTGACTTTCCAGCTACGCCCTACTTAAAATCTTCAGATTCAGATAGAAGGCCGATTTACTGGTACCAGGTGAGAAACGCTAGGTAAAAATAAAAAATTATGATGGTTGAAATTTATATACATATACTTTGTTAAGCATTGTTACAAAATAATATTTAGCATAGCTAGGCACTTCCAGCCAACCATAACTTCTATGAGCGTGTAGAAAAAAATGTTTCATCCTAAAATTATAGAGTCCGAATTAAAATTTTTCATGGCATGTCGTTTTTGTATACAGGGTGTCTGTCAGTACTATCGAATAAAGTGTCCCTCTTAAAAAAAACAACTATTCGATAGGCTTTTTCTGATAAAAAATATGTCAATTCTAGGGCGTGTCCCTTTGCCTCGCTAAAGCGGCTATTTTGTTGTCCGCTAGCATTGAGCACACAATAATTCAGAGGGCTCGGTTACAAGGCGTTGGTGACAGACGACGCATGTACGCTGAAGTATGGTAAGATCATACTGAATAATATATTGTTATTAGAAACTTGTTAGGTAAGATATTGCAAGTAATATAATTCACCGGAAATGCTGTGCTAGGCAGAGGAATGACCGAAGTACCTTGCAGAACCTAATATACCTACATTTTTAGACAGAATAAAGTTAAAAATCAAGTACATACAGGCTGCTCCAGGTTATTGAATATTTGAAAATAATAAATTCATTTTTCACGAACAGGCAGGGTTATTTTTCTAAACAAGCCAAAATTATACAAATTAATATTTCAGACAAGAGTGAAACAATTTTAATGAAATTTTGTACAATATTAGAGGTGCTTAGGGGTAATCTAAAACTGGTACGCAAAATTAAAAATTCCAGGACCAAATTCAATTTCTGTATATTCGCAAAAAATAAATTTAAAGCTTTTTTATTTTCAGATATAAAAATGCCATGGTCCATACTACCTACCATTGCACTATGTCCATTTAAACCCAGAACATCCCGTATAGGTTACTTATCGTATGTCGGACAAGTGATAGTATGTTGGTTTTTTCACATATAGGTGTTTCTACGACAACTTATCACTAGCTGTACTACACTTGTGTCCTCGTTCCATAGCTGTACGTGTTGCCTAAACGTCATGATGCTTCAGCTATCAATGTTTAGCTCTGGTATGATGTATCATCTGCTTCAGAGATGACATTATTGGAGGTCAAAGCTGCAAGTGGTATACTACAGCTGGAAGGAAGCGGCAGTGCATAGGTGCACAGTGAGGATTTGTGTGCTAATAATGTGTTTAGGTTTTTTACAAAAAACCCTACGGGCTATTGGTAGGATCAATAGATTTTTTGTAGCACTGCTTATACTTTTGTTCTGAGAACCGGTTGGTTTTGACAGTATTACAACAGAGTTGTTGCAATTGTCGCAAACATGAAGCTTTGTCAAGAGTCCGCGTGGTTTCGTCGACTGGATCCATTCTGTCCATGGTACTTTTTTTTTTCATAATGCTGCAGAACAGATTTATAATCTGGCGACAGAGGGCCAAGGTTGACAATTATCTGACCACGCAAAATGTCAGAGGGTTTATTCAATATTCAGATTAACATAAAAACACAATAGAAGTTTTCATTTGACACTGTTGTTTGGATACAATAGGTCATCGAAATTTTTTAACGCCCTGACTGACGCAACAACCTTCTCACCCCTTCCCTTGGCTACCACGGAAAATCCCCTAACATAGTTTTTACAAGCATATCAGGCACGCAAATCTCACAGAAATCTGTTATACATATACGCAATGAATGGGTGAAATTACTGTAAAAATCGATATATTTCGAATGAAAACATAGTTGAAAAGTCTACCATTTTTTCTTGGATTTATTGACGCCTACTGATGCTGCTTTCTGCTATAAGGAACTCCGCCTTGCCGGGTAACCGGATATTACTGAAAAACGTAAAGGCATAGGAATAAACGCAGTATAAGTACTGTATCAAGAATGAATGGTACTACTAGCGCCAGGGACTCTCCTTCGGTGCGAGACTGACCCCGAGAGCTACTACTAGCGACATCTGTTGGGAACCGCGCCAGGGACTCTCCTTCGGCATCAACGCGAGGTGCACCCCGAAGGTTCTGGACTGGTCGCTATGTGGCGTACCGGAACTGTCTCGATGCGGAATATATAAGCCGACGGCGGGGAGAGGGAAACAGAGTTGATTGAATGGCGCGACATAATAATTCGTAAATAAGTAGTCAGACATAAATAGCAGTGTACATAAAGTTAGTTGTGTTGTGTTTTAAATAAATTAGTGCATTTCTTTTTGTGGAATCGAGCTTTTTAATCCACACCCAAAAGAACATAGAAAAACGCTACAATACTGAGTAAATTACTTGTTTACATTGAATCAAAACTTTATTGCGCGATTTTAATGCAATTATCCACATAATCGATTATACAAGATAGATAAACTGAAAAGGAATTTCGGCTTACCATATCGTACTCGATACTCCTTTAATTCGTTTGCAATTTCTATAGAAAGTGAGTTTACACACCTCCGATTGACACACACGTGCCTTTCACGTTTTTAGTATCAACGTACAGAACAGCAGTAAAAGTGCACAAACAAACAACTGCTCTGAAGGATAAGGCAAGTAAACATTTACAGTGAAACAAAAAGGATGAAGGAAGTCCATAATAACCATATCCTTGACTAAAAAAATATTGGAATTCATTATTTACTACCTGCTTCCCGAAATGAATCTGGTGAAAACAAATAAAATGAAAAAGAAAAAAAAGCTCGCTCCAAATACCACTAAAAAGTTACGGCACGTCTGCTATCTACGTACATATAAACGCTAATCGATGTCCCACGGGTTTTCTTTCAGAAAACAGGTAATGTCTGGCAGCCCTGGGATCATACTACAATCATGTTTAGCCTTAACAATCTTTTTTATGCTGCAAATTGTCACCCACCTGCAGCCGCAGTTGGGTCATCCCATCCACCTGGTCCACCGCCTCCACCTGGGCCCATGTCATCGCCCCATCCTCCGCCTCCCGCGCGACTGCCGGCGCCCCACACTGAGCTGCCGTCTGGTTTCAGGCGTGACTGCGCCATTCCTGGGGGAACACCGCCTGCAACTGCCGCAGCCGCTGCAGCTGCTGCTGCCGCTACGTTGCCAGGTCGGCCCATGCCGCCGGCACCGCTGGGAAGGTCCTTCCAGTGGGAACAACCTAACAAAGAAAAACGGGATAAGGACAAGATTTCACTTTTGTTTCTGCCACGGCGCACAACGGTTCAGAATACAAAAAAACTGTCGAAATAAATCGAGTCTAAATGCACGTCATATATGCTGCGTTGAGTTGACACTAAGACAATTTAAGGCCTCTCTCAAAAACAAACCAAGAAAGTGGAATGCAATAAAACCTGATACCTCATAATATGGCAGTAAGATTATATTGACTAGATTTGATCTGGCTGTAACTCAAGGTTCACAAATATCATTAATTCCAATTCGGGTGGAACCTTATTAAAAACCCTCCCTGATTAATAGCATTAATTGACAGAGTCTACCTGAAGAAAATGGTTAAGTATGGATGGAATTGGCCAGGCGTCGCCATTCGAAAGTGAACTCATGTGTAAGTATTTGTTAAAGCTGAATGATATAATATATAATACTATATATATATATATATATATATATATATATATATAAATGATATGGCTGATATTTCAGAACACTGTAATATTCAGATATTTGCGAAAGATCCATTGATATACAGGGAGGCCCATCCATGTGTGGACGGAATATTACTCATAAACAAATACATTTTGGGAAAATCTATTTATGGCATGTTATACATGACATTTGAGGACACATTTCTAAAATATTGGCAATTATACATGGTGTCTCAATTTTGACCTGCATATCAAAGTTGTGATTTTTTAAATGGAAAGCCTCAAATTTTATTGCATATTTGGATAAACCAATTCAGAAGAAGATTGATATAACACAATGTTTTGGTAATTAGCTACTGAGATATAAGGTGTTTTGTCCAGAAATACCGTCCACATCGGCAACCCCTCAATCCACCATTCGGCAACCCCTCAATCCACCATTTTGAAATTTGGAGTGCTGAATTTTGTATAAAAAAAACTTACACACCTCAGCTTTTATCTTATTTGTTACTTTTACAAATTTTCATTTTTGCTCAAACGCAAATTGTACTTTTTCTCAAAAAATTCAAATGCATCACTCTGTATATTTGTACTGAATTCAATTTTTTATAAGCTTTTTTTTTTGGCATAAGGTTTGATTCAGATAAAATCACTAGATTTTGAATTATTAAGCTTTTAATAGAACAATATATCAAAATTAAGGATTAAAAATCACATCATCCATGGAAATAAAAGACAAACAGTGGGCTAGTTCCATATTGCCACTAAGAGTACAGATTTGACGTAAAAACTAATAACAATCAGAACAGTATAAATCAGCTTCAAGCGTAATAGAGAAAAACAAGTATAACAACAATATTAACAAACAACCATCACTACTCAAGACCTAATCTACAAAAACTGCTCGAAAATATCTCCACCTTGTTGAATACACAGCCGTAATCTTTGGATAAATTGACCGTTGCACATCCCTCAGCACGTGTCCCCTTATGGTGAGAAAAGCATCCTTAATCCTTTCTTTCCTTCATATTTTTCGGGGTAGATGGTGGATATCTATAAACCTCTTTCTTAACGTAGCCCCATAGAAAAAGTCCATCGGTGTCATATCTGGTGATCTAGAAGGCCAAGATATAGACCCGTCACGACCGATCCAACGATTGTTACTCCAAGTGTTCAAATAGTTACCTACACGATTATGATAATGCGCAGGTGCGCCGTCATGTTGGAAGTACATAAGCATCCGAGTTGGCAGATTTACATCCTCCAAAAGCAAAGGTGAATGCTCGATCAAAAAATTCAAGTATTCTTTACCGGTTAATCGAAAAAGAAAGGTCCGATAACTTGTCTGCCAATAACTCCTCCCCAAACATTCAAGCTCCATTTATTTCGGAAATCTATTTGCCTAACCGAGTAAGGGTTTTCCGTCGCATAATAGTGCATGTTATGCCTGTTGACAACACCTTTGCTGTTAAAAGTAGCCTCATCGCTAAAAAGAACCTTATCCAGGAAAGTAGTGTCTTCACTCACTTTATTTAGCATTATTCTACTAAACTCCATTCGAGCTGTGAAATCCTGACGTCGAAGGCCTTGGTGCAAGCATAGGTGATATGGATGGTACCTATGCTTGTGAATAATCTTTTGGACAGAAGTTCTGCATATATCAGTTTCTGCTCCAATTTTCCTGCAACTTAATAGAACCTCAAACTGATTCGCCTCATTAATCACACTTGGATTATTGATACATTTTTTACTATATTCCACTGCTCCACTTGATTCAAAACGTTTTCGTAGTGTGGAAAATGTTTCCGGCCTTGGATGTCGCATATTAGGGTACCGTTGCTTATAAATGCGAGATGCTAGGAAACTATTTCTTTGGACTTCGCCCAAAACGAACACCATATTCACCATTTCTTCTTTAGTAAAATTCATTTTCAAAAACGTTTTTATTATAAAGGTCCATGCACACTCAGCCGTGACGTGACAGTGCCGTGACGTGCCAGTGATTCTTGCTGACGTGAGCTCACAGTGTCAGTATTTCTCTCCGTGCTCTGACAGTGCAGTTGTGTTCACGTGAGATCGAAATGGCAACATTTAAAGAAGAAACGAGAAGATAACGGAAGTCCATGTATTTTGAATTTGACTGGTTCTTCAGCACAAGATGTGCGCGCACAAATTCAATTAGTTTTTCATCATTCATGTTTTTTGCCAAATATATCAAAACATTCACGAAATTTAATAAAAGCACGGCCGTGAAAATCTAAAAATATCGTTCCAAAACAATGCGATGATCACAATACGGCGTCGTAGAGGGCACTGAGAACACGGTCACTTCCACGTGCCGGTCTAGTGTGAATCAGTTCATCCAAATTACAGGAAGAATGTTTTTAGTTTCGCCGGGCGGATCACGTGCCGGTCACAACACTGTCACGTCACGGAGTATGAATAGGCCTTAATGCTCACAGTTTGTAATTAAACAACAATTAATTTGTTTCCAAGGATGATGCGATATTTTAGGGAATTAAGCCGTTCCATAACAGACGTGCTAATAACTGAAAAAATAGCCGTAAAAACCCCTATGTGTCTAGTATCAAAAAAAAGCTTATAAAAAATTGAATCCAAACTTGCACAAATATACAGGGTGATGCATTTGAAATGTTTGAGAAAAACTACACTTTGCGTTTTTGCCCACCCTGTATGAGCAAAAATTAAAATTCGAAAAAGTAACAAATAAGATAAAAGCTGAGGTGTGTAAGTTTTTTGATACAAAATTCAGCACTCCAAATGCCAAAATGGCGGATTGAGGGGTTGCCGAAGTGGACGGTTTTTCTAAGCAAAACATCTTAATCCCAGTAGCTAATTACCAAAACCCCATAGTATGTTATATCAATCTTCTTCTTTTGAATTGGTTTATCCAATATTTTAGAAATGTGCCCTCAAATGTTATGTATAACATGCCATAAATAGATTTTCATAAAATGTATTTGTTTGAGTGATATTCCGTCCACACATGGATGGGCCACCCTGTATATGCACATAAACATTTGTACATTGCTTAGGAACTGTTAGTGATATTAAAAAAAAACTATGAATTGGTTAAATGTTAACTTAAACACTAATAAAATAAAATGTACATAAATAGGAAAACATATAGGTGACAATACAATTAGGTTCATGATTAATGATGATGGAAAATTGAAGTAGCCGAATCATTCAAATATCTGGGTATATACAGTACTGAGCAAAAGTGTAGGTTTATTTTTTTAAAGATTTTATTAAACTATTAAAGTAAACTAAACACTTATGTGTTGTTTTTCACATCTACCCGTCTTAGGAGGGCTTACCAACGATTTTCTAAGGCAGAACAACTTAATAGTTTTGCAAATTACCGATCGGCTTAAATTCAGCTGTTTGGCTATGGTTGCTTGTTTAATGCCTGATCGATATTTTAAAATAATCAATTCTTTTATTTGCAAATTCAATGTAATTCCTCTGGCCATGTTTTTGAATTAAACTTTACCAAATACACTCAAAACCAACACCTATTCTAATCAACGACTAAATATAAACTAAATATTTACAAAATGGTTCTCTACTTTTGCTTGTTGAACAAAAAACAGACCATAATATATTGAAAAAAAAAGAATGTATACAAAGATAAGCTTTTCATTATCTTGAGGTAGTCATACATAAAAAACTTTAGTGTACAGTTTTGGGTTAGAGTAAATCTTTCTCGATTTTTATTTGTAATGTGGTTTGTTTCTCTACATTGGCACGGTACTGTATGTGGTAAGTAAACTACTGTTTCAAGAGCATTATGAATATATTATTTCAAAAATACCAAAAAAGATAAATTAATTCTATAGAGTTTCCCATAATCTGAGTACGTATTCCAAGAAAACTGTGTACAACACTATAATTCTTCAACTCTTTTTATATTGTTCGACCATCTTGTTTACAGCAAATGGAAACATATTTTCAAAATTGTAAATTCTACAAAATAAAGCTAGGAGACGAATTTTAAATAAAAACAAAAAAAAATGTTCTCATTTTCATATTTAACCATCACATTTGAAAAACTCACAAAATTTAATAGTCGTTATCATAACTACGAAACTAGAGCCAGTATAGATTTTCATCTGGAAAATTGTAATAGTAGCAAAGCTAGAAAATCTGTATTTCAAAAGGGAGTATTTGAATTTAATAGATTAATAGTGATATTAAACAGTGTTCGAATTTAAAATGTTTAAGATGAAATTCAAAAATCACTTTATCAATACTCAAATAGCATAGTGATGTAATTTCAATAGACAAGAATGTAAAATTACAGAAATTTGATTAAAAAAAAAACAGTGTAAACGAATAATTATACAAAATTAACATTGTAGCATTAATGCTAAATAAAAACCTTCCTTGGCATCATCTATGAGAATCTGTCACCGCTGTTTCTTTTTTTGAGCAATAATTAAAATATCTACTTTGAAAGGGTTAGTGCCTCCTAGATGGCGCTGTAGCCAACTATAGGCTGCATATGCTGCGATGGTGTAATCGCGGTGGAATGAGCTAATATAACTTCTAGGTCCAATATCTTTGAAACTTAGCTACTTAATTAGAATTATGTTGCACTTTATTTGTACCTGATAACCTTAAGAGAAACGAAATTCGCTGCTGGCTCCAAGATAAAGAAACGACGTCAAAATTACCCATTGCCCTCTGCATTAAACCCATCAAGTATCTTAAAATTAGCATTGGCTTCCATGAAACTGTGATGACACTTCTAAAAAAAAAAAAACTTCGTTATTATCAAGCACTCACCCTGCTGCGGGTTGCCCCATAGCGATGTCCCGTCATCATAATTGGGCACATTACGTCTCTGTGCTGGGGGCGATGGCTCCTCCCATCCGCTGCCAGCTCCACCTCCAGGTGCTCCTGGTCCGCCCACTTTGCCGCCGTGATGGTGCATAGGTTGGGCTGCTGCTGCAGCTGCGGCGTGAGGAGCCGCGCCGCCCCAGAATGCCTCTGCACCGGCGCCGTTCAAGCGACCGGTTATGCCTGGAAGGATTAGACATCAAGATTATGTAGGCGTGCGATTGGGTATGTGGTCAAATAACGCAAAAGGTCCCAACAAATGTCCTCAGGGTTATTACGTAAAAAAAACTAAATAATGACAAAAAAAAAAAAGAAAATGACAACTTGCTAAGTAACCTAGTGCGTACATAGTTCATTCCGCGCTTACTACTAGTGAGCATGAAATGAACGACAGTTAGTTCCAAGTTCACGTCTTGTAGGAAAACCTAGATATGCCGTAAAAAACCTACATAATGTAAAAAAAGACAACATTTCACTTTTCAAGTTACGTAATACCCCTCCCGGTAAGTACTCTAAAATAAACATATTCTCCACACCTCCTAGACATTGTCAAGCTTGCTGTTGCCATTGTAAGTTCTGATAGTTATTTAACATTCCAGAAGAAACAGAACTTACCCATTTAATCATAGAATAAATATATTTGGCTATTACATACAGTATAATGAACAAAAGTATTCCCAAACTGTCAGTGGCCTTATGCAACACTAGAGTGTGGCAGTCTTCATATTCAACGAATAATGAGAGGCAAAAATGATATTGCACTTCCGAACGCTGTCAAAACTGGAAACTGTAAGTAGCACTGAAGGAGGTTAAAATATTTCTGACAGCTATCTGACGGCCTACGACCAAGTGATTGACCGCCTACAATACGTTCATCAAGGTGGAGACTGATCTGTAATGTAATGGAGCATCTAAACGAACAATATTTATGGCCCGTAGATATCTCAACTATATCTTGACAATATTGTCTGCAAAGTGTAGACAAATAATGGCAGAATTTCTTATCAGATGGGCTACAAAATGAGGCAACAATGACTGACGAAATTATACCCGTCACGAAAGCATACATTACGTTATACTGAGTAGGATTCCAATAATTCGGCAATTTGATAGTACTATACAAATATATATGAAGTAAAAATATAGCCCGTTTAGAAGCGACTGGTACAGAACATCGTAAAGTAAAATGTTTCAGATAGTTTGGATGGTCAGGCCAGTATAAACAGAGTAACTCGCCCCATGTGATGGACGCACAAACTCACCTATCGCAAATGTTGCCTTACGATGTTCTGGTACAGGTCAGTCGTTACCTTCAGAACAAAATGTTAGAGAACTATTTCTGCATTATTTGATGTACATAAGAATGTAGTGATTTCAGTGCAAACGATTTATCGAGTTTCAATATCCTTTACTGCTGTTCACGTTCTGGTACATTACTGGACAAAAAAAAAACACCTTAAATTTTGCAATGTCACACACCTAGACTATTCCTCTTACCAAATCTACGAACGAGTACATCCCATTGCATTATAGCATTAGTTAAAAACAAAACAATATCAACCAAATAACAAACACAATCACAGTACTTACATCGACCAGCGATCTGCTGACATTGCACTGTAGACTGGATGTGTTATAAGAAATTGTAAGGGTCTCATAACCTAGAGATGCCGACTAAGGAATTCGTTTTGTGATGTGTAATTATCTTGAATTCGAAGGTGATAAATATTCATGGTATATGTAGCAGCATAGAAAATGAAAACTGCAACACTGTTCAACAATGTCTACCTTGCGTCTTTGGTGAAGTTTCCTCAGTGTTCAGTGCTGCCAGCATCGAAAACATGCCATTTTCTCTCTCTACGACACTGCTTTTATAAAAGATTAAGGTCAGGCTGCCTGGATAACTGGCAACTATGACAAATACACCAACGAGTAAATTAGCAATTTGAGGTTAGAAAAAAATAGAATTTCATGACACTACTTTCAGTAACAACATTATGAGAATAGTAAACATGAATTTGATTGAAAAGTTAATGCCAATACTTAGCTAGAAAATTTTGAGTATCGTGATTCTATTAGGTATACTACAAAAGTATCTGGTCAATGTACCTCTGGGATCTCCTCTCATATCGCCGCCTTGCTGCTGCATCTGCCTGACGTGCTCCCTGGGATCCAACAGACCGCGCATGTCGGTGCCGAATGCGGCTGCCATAGCAGCGGCGGTGATCGCTTTGCCGAGTTCGGTTCGTACGTCCCTGGGGTCGTTGTTAGGGCCGCCGCCCCCTGCGTTAGGGCCTCCAGGGCCCCTAGGGTCGGCAGATCGCGGATCTCCCCAGCCGCTGCCTCCGCCACCACCAGCAGCGTTGCCGGCGTTACCGTTGTTGCTGCCTGCACCTGATTGTGATCACCATCGGTTGCAGGTCAAGTGGGAGGTGTGTTAGGTTATATTGGGGTCAGGGGCATCAAACAACAACTAAATGGCAGAAATCGACGATTGGTAACACAGTTACAGTGTTTTTGTAAATGATGTAATAATCTGCAGAATATTTGAGGTTGCTCAGCTTAGAAATTGAACGAATAGGCTATGGCCCGTTTACTAATGATTGGTCACAATGCTGTATCATATTGATGGCTGTTCCATCAGTGTGTCGCACTGTACTGAACAGAGTATGTCAAAACTTCCTTTCGGTGGACTTACTAGGGTGATAATTACAAATTGTGTCTGTACTTTGCTGCCACGTTTGCAAACAACAACTGTGAACTTGAGTGTGCGCACTCGCACAAGCGGTGGGGTCACGTTAGCGAAAATTCACTGGCTGTTCACGCACTCAGTTTCGCTCATGCTACCGAAACGAAAAAGTTTGTTTATTCGTGAAGGAATGAAAAAAATGTTGCTTCGCAAGAGTTAGGAAAAATTTTCACTAAAAAAATATTTTTGTATTATCCTCGTTACTTCTTTTTAAGTAAACTACACAATATGACATACACTACATCACGTTTCCTTGATCTTCAATGATAAAAACGAGTGAGGAATTGTTAGTGAGCAACATGGTTTTAGTCTCGATAAATCTACTGTGACCAATTTGCTGTTGTTTAAGGACACTCTGATGAGTGCTTTGGAGAGAGTTCATCAGATTAATTTGATATTCAAGGCAATCGACAGAGTTAACCACAGTATATAACTGGACAAAATTGAGCCTCTTTGGTTTTTCTGAGATTACGGTGTCTTGGTCTGCAAGTGCGTATAGGCAATGCCAGGTCTTACTATAATAGTGCTTCATCTAGTGTGCCTATTTTTATAAATGACATTTCAGTTTGTTTTGAAAACAAAAAATTGTTGTCGCGGATTATTTAAATTTTATCGGTAGGTTGGTTCTGAGCAGGATTTGATTTTGTTACAAAATGACTTGAATAGGCTGAGTGATTGGATTGGTATGTTGATAATGATTTATCATTAAATATTGATAAATGTAACTTAGTTTTCACAAAAAAAAGATGGATTCTTCTTATACTGTAGAAAACAATAATCGTGACTGTTGCAATGTCATGAAAGATCTTGAAACACTTTTTCATGAACAACTAAGTTTCAACTCACATATAAACAGTATTATACTTAAGGTTTCTAAAGCCCTTGGTTTTGCGTTGTGTAACTGTAGGAACCTATCTATAGAAACTTGTAAAAAATTATACATGTTACGTGTGGTGCCTTTGTAGGAATATGGATCGATGATATGGTATCCCTTTTTTATGAATAGTTGCCTAGCACTCCAAAGAGTTAAGAATACATTTATAAGGTTGTCTTTACAATCTTCATATAAGAAATCCGGATGATCATATATGTATATGATGATGCACTGAATATATTGAACATGAAGAGTCTACGTCGATGGCGTATTCACAATGATTTAATGTTTTGTTTAAATTTTTAAATGGCTAGATGCTGTGTCCTGAACGCCTTATCAGAATTTCCTTCAATGTTCCATCACTTAATTTGAGACTAAACCAGTTATTTATAATATGTATAATATATTAATATTTAATAATTTTAATAAATTATATCAGCTATTGCATTAAAATGGAACGTTTCACGAGGGTGCCTCGTACGTATTACATACCAGTATAAAACGCGATTATTGCAGTGCTACGTGTCATGCTGGATACGAAAGTATGATAGGGTACATGAGCAAAGGCACTTAAGCTGAACGACTTATGACGTTTAATAAGTTCCCATCTTAAAGGAAAAATACCAGGAATGTTTTCAATCGCCAATTTCTGCCACTTAAGTCACTTGAAATACATAGCACACCATTGTTACTTGCACTCTTTCAATTAATAATCTATCTACCTAGATAACAACAATGCGAATGACCCAAAAGAAGAAGTTTGATTAGAATAACTGCAGTAAGTACAAAAGCATTTAGAATATATATCTATACAGGGTGCAAATTTAGTAGTGAATCAACGGAAGTCAGGTGATAGAGGGCCTCAAAACATATCGAATGAACTCCTATATGTGTGGTCCGAAATTTTATAGTTCATGAGATATATGCAATTTTGTGAAATTTCGAAAAAACGGGATAATGAACTTTCAATCGCAATTACAACTAAACCATTAGGTTTAGGGGTGTGATTTTTTTTTGAGATAAGCTAAATGGTTAGTTTTAGCAATGGTTATGTCACTTTTTAACAGAGCTAATTATAAATCAATCCCTTAACTTTGGAGGGCGGTAAACAAAACTGAGGTTGTATTTATTATTCATTTTATTGTAAAAACTATTTCAATCCATGTAGAATAAACCTTGAAAATTTCAGCTTGCTACGATAAGTGCCTCACCTTAAAAAATCTGTATGTTTGACGCAGATCGGTATCTATACATGTAAATAAGAAATTCTATTTTGTGAGCTACAGTTCACAGTCCATTTCCATTCATGGAGCGTAGAAAATCCACACGCTATTCGCCGACACAGCTTTCAACGTCAGTCCGTTGTTAATTTATGGGCAGGAGTACTCAACATAATCTTGCTTTTCTACAAAGCAGTTTGCATGAGCTGCTAGAGATGCTATGGATAGGTAGAGGTGGACACATACGGTGGCCTTCAAGGTCACCCGATTTAAATCCTCTAGATTTTTTTATATACGTGTTTTATAAGTGGATGATCTATACATCTGAATATACAAATTTCAACCAACTGCCCAGAAAATTGATGAAGCTAAAATAAAAATTATAGAAAACGCAAATTCGTTTCAAAGACTAAAGGACAATTTTATCAGAAGGTGTCGCTTGTGTATAGAAAATAATGGAGGCCATTTCGAACATGTTCTTAAAAAGTTAGTTAAACTAAATTATATTCCACATTTGTCGGTAAATCGCCATAAAGAGCGGCTAAACACAATAGGTTCTGTACTTGTAGGTGGTTAGGATTGTACTGCGTTTCTTACGTTTATCACATTACAACAACGAATGTGACATGATACACTCATTGTAGCAAGCTGAAATTTCCAGGGTTTATTCTGCATGGATTGAAATAGTTTTTACAATAAAATGAATGATATACCTCAATTTGTTTTACCGCCTTCCAAAGTTGAAGGATGGAAGAGATTTTTCACAAAAAAATGAATTTAAGATTTTTGCGTTGATTTCCAATAAGCTCTGTTAAAAAGTGACATAACCATTGCTAAAAGCCCTAAACCTAATGCCTTAGTAGTAATTGCGATTGAAAATTCATTATCCCGTTTTTTTTTTTCGAAATTTCACAAAATTGCAAATATCTCCTGAACTATAAAATTTCGGACCAAACATATAGGGGTTCATTCGATAGGTTTTGAGGCTCACTATCACCCGACTTCCGTTGATCCACTACTAACTTTACACTCTGTATATCTATCTATCTACAATGCAACAACTATAATAAGAATAATTGTGTACCAAATTTGAAAAAAAAGATTAAATGGTTAGTCAAATACTACCGACTCAAATCATCTACAATTTTCAAATCCCTCTTACAGTTCGTGCACTATCCCACAAAAAAAACATTTCAATACTATCCCGTGGCTAAAACTAAAATATTACCTACCGTGTTAAACAACGTCACACATTCACACATAAAAAAAATCGATCGACACTTACCACCCCACATAGACGGTCCATTGTTAGCATTGGCTCCAGCACCCCATGGTTGTTGATTGTTAGGAACTCCAGTCCAGACGTTGGAGCTATCAGCATCGTCATCTTCACCCCAGGTACCTGTAAAACAAAGTTACCAATTGGTAAAAACTCATTTCATGAATGCTTCATTTCTCTCATACATTCAAAACTAATTGTGTTTTTCGTTTGAAATGGCGGCTCCATAAGAGCCCATATTGGAATCCAAATTTTTCACTTCAGATTTCTCTAAAAGTACGAAATGGAATATTTTATAAAAATTAAGGCATCTATCTTTTCTTTAAAGAAAACCTACTGTCCAAATTTCATCAATTTCTTACTTTCTGGTACTAACTGGTGTACCTGAAGTCAATAATTTAATAGTTTTCTACTCACCTCCGATATTGGTAGATGGTGTATGTCCCCAAGGCGTCTTCTGCTGCGGTTGTGGCGGTGGTTGGCCCCCGTTGCGCAGGTTCGCCTCCCACAGCTCGGTCCCATTGTTCACGGTCGGTTTCCATGGAGGCGGTCCTCCACCAGTACCATCCATTTTCATCTGGGGCTCGGGGCTCGAGGGGATGTCCCAGGCAGTGTCTTGGTTTACATGCTGCTAAGATAACCAATACATACAAGCGAATAAAGGGAGGAGTGGCATATCGTATATATATGGATATAAAAGTCTAAGGTCGTTTCATAACTGATTTTGGTTCAAATAAAGACAAATAACTAACGTCGCTTTTGCCATTCAAGTTCAGCTTGTCAAATGACAGTAAAGACTATGATGTAATGATATTCGAAGCAGATTCAGAAAGTGCTGGATAGCGGTATTTCCTGAACAAAAGCTGCGGAATGGGGGGAAACAACTGTCAGATTATGATTTTTGCAAAAGGATCAGTGTCTGTAAGCGTGGTTTCTGGCCCTAAAATAAATCAAGTGTCAATTCAATCAAATCTATAAAATTTTTGCATTAAAATGTTTTAGAACATATTTATATTTTTATTTCAGTATTTAATTGTTTTTCAAAGGTTAAAGTTTGTGATTTTGGACAAAATTCATCCGTTTAACATGTAACTTAGTAGTTTTATATGAGCGCATGCTCCACTGCGCTCACTTTAAGAACAAACGTTGAAACAAATCAGTACATAATTATAACGAGATATCAATTTTTGTTTTTAATGTGAGAACAGTTGATCAACACTTTTATTACATCCTCTGCCATTGGGCGAAAAGTATTGTAATCGCGAAAAATTTCGAAAATGAGATGTTTTTTGATGTTATATGACGTACATCACAAAAAACAATGTCACTCATTTCCGTCTGTCTGTCTGTAGATCCGCTAGGATTAAAATTTGGTGGTTTGGTTTGTAGGGAAAGGGTATATGAAATTTTTTGATCTTAGTATATTATACGCTCCCAACTCGGGTAATTCTATGCAAGTATTAGCCGTATTTCACACATTTTGCCTTTCAATGAGAATTATACAGAAATTATTTCGATCGCGTACTTCTGCCTACTATATAAGGGTACTGCCTGGCAAACCAGTCCGGTATATATATATACCCGTACAGAAGTGCGAAAAACAGACGGAACTTGCACGAAACGAAATATAGTAAAGCAGGGAAAGAATGTTTATGGATTGGTGGTATAAGCCTGTTTGATTGACTTAATACGTTTAATTCCTCTGTTGTACATGTCAGTAACTTAATTTTTTCTCAGATGATTTAAATTGCGCTGAACTTAATCTTTTATGAACTGATAATGGCTTTGTATAGGAAGTGCAGGATCAACCCACTAGGCGACTTGTTTTACATACGTTTTGTGCCTTATTATACGTAGGTGTTGAGACGATGCGCTTTAATAAAAATAATCAAATACTAAAATAGAGAAAAGTTGACGAGTTTAAAATGCATGTGTTCTAAAACATTTCAATGCAAAAATTTCATAGATAGATAGATAGTCTTTATTGTCTTTTGGTCATAAATAGCTATGACATAAGACTTGTCAACATTACATAATACAATACATAAGTATGCGATATGCATAAAAAGAACAGGTAGTTATTTAAAACGGTAATTGAGATAATAATTAATAAACAAATAAATCAATAAAATAGGAGTCTTTACAAACACAAACAAATTCTCAATGACATCTAACGAACATGAAAAAAAATCTATTTTAAATAAATAAAAACAATTGAGCGCTTAAAATGTCTAGAAGAGGAGCAATAAATAGACTGTTTCTTTTCCGTTAAGCTTAATAAATAAATAAAATTAAGCAGTTAGGTATTCGTAGATGCCATCAAATTGAAATTTAGAGTTATTTTTAGTGCCAAAAGCCACGCGCATAGACTGATCGTTTATAGTAGGTACTAGCTATCAGTTGTTTACATTAGCCTTGTGTGTTGTTTACTCCTAGATAACGACATTGCATCGGAAAAGGTACTGGCTTTGCCGACCCTATCGATGCCTCTACAGCTCATAGACAGCATATACCTCTCGCACGTAAAATATACTTCATATGGTCTCCTACGAACCGGCAATCCACATGTCATGCTTGCGAAATTTTTAAGTAAGAAGTATGCGGAAATACAATAGCCGCTTGGATTGTTACTATCGTATTTCGATACTGAGAAAAGTGCAACTGGCGAAAGTAATATAACTCAAGTAAAATGACAAAATGGCATTGACAGAGAGAGGTTAGCAGATCTACGAGGGTGATCTGATAAGTACTTAGCCTCACCGCCCGATGGCGCGACTATCCCCAGAAAAAAATACTATCGTGTAGTACATTAGACGGCGTGAGGGAGCGGACGTGTCCGCGGATTTTAGAAAAATGAAAAAGAGAAATTAAATATCAGTCGATGATTCGATTCTTGTTTTTGGAAGGGAAATCGCGCAGCGAAATCAAAGAGCGCTTGGATGCTGTGTACGGTGACTTCTCCTTCAATGGCGACTGTCAAAAATTGGTTTAACGGTTTTCAACGTGGTCGCACGTCGGTTTTTGATGAGCCACGCCCAGGTGCCCCTAAAATGGCTACGATTGAGGATAACGTGACAAAAATCTACGATCTCGTATTGGCAGACCGCCGATTGAAGGTGCGCGGGATAGCTGAGACAGTAGGCATATCAAAATACCATGTGGATCATATTCTGCATGAAATATTGGGCATGCGAAAGCAGACTGCGCGACGGGTGTCGCGTTTGCTCATTCCGAACAACAAGCGCAACCGTCAGACAACTTCAGTGTTTGGCGCTGTTTAAGCGCAATCAGAAGGAGCTTCTGCGTCGGTACACACCAGAAACCTGCTCGTAGCCTTACTCCAAAGACCTTAATAAAAAAATCACAATCACTCTATTTTCTGATCCGGGCACTTTCTAAAATTTGGGTTAATCAAAAATGTTGCAATATGAGAGATAACGTCTTCAAATACGCAAAAAAGATAAGTGCAAGATAAAAAACGATATTCCTAAATGCACACCATTGTTCGTAAACTAAGAAGCTATACAGGGTTATCCAAATTAAGTGTCCACCATTAGTAACTTTGTTATTAGTGAAAATACAAAGTTGTTTGAATTAGCAAACTAGTAGCATTTTTAACGCTGGTAAAAATTAGAAATAAAAAAAAACAATTGAGAGTCGTTATTTTGATTCTTTTCAGTAAAATAACATTTTTTTAAATGGAAACCCCTGTATATTATATTTTTTTCTGTTAAAGCATCAAATTTTAAACAAAAAAGTTCATAATGACTTTTCCGCTAAAGTCAAAAATAAAGTCAAAATAACGATAAATATTTTTAATTATTTGCAGTATTATAATATTAAGACGGCTATGAAAACAACATGGCGTTCGCGATTTGACAGCATTAAGATAAGCGACAAATTGTTAAACTGGACATACTCGCAACTAGAAGGCTTTGGAAAACAATGATAAAATCAAATAATGTCAAACATTAGTGTAAATACTTGTTTATAAGCTTTATTGTGTCATTAATTTAAAGAAAAATGTTCTCCCATGAAGAAAAGTGTGATATGTTAGAATGCTATTTAGTGTGCAGAAAATCCTCCTTGAGAGCAATACTACAGTGAATTATATCCCGCTCGCATTCAACCGTATGAACGATATTTTCTGAGACTTTATCGAAAATTTAGGGGCAACGAAAATGTTTTTGCTAAAACAAGGGCAAAAAAAGAATTCATAATAAGCGAGGCCACGGAAATTGCAGTTATTGGATATCTTGAAGCTTATCGTGAGAATTCAATAGCAGATATTCTCAAGGACTCTAATTTCAGTTATGGTACTGTTCAAAGGATTTTAAAAAAATACAAATTTATTCCGTATAAGTACCGACCAGTTCAAACGCTTTTGGCAGGGGATCCAGAGAGAAGACTTGTTTTTTGCCATTGGTATCTTAGCTTCTGTCGCCAAAATGTAAATAACTTTCGTTACCTTTTATGGACAGATGAATCAAATTTTTCAAATTCTGGAATGTTTAATAGAAAAAACCACCATTATTGGTCAAGAGAAAATCTTTTGTTAGTACATCCAAGAGGCCCACAAGTCCGTTTCAGTTTCAACGTTTGGTGCGGTATAATTGGTTCAAAAATTGTTGGCCCGTTCTTTTATGAGGGAACCCTAACTGGTGAAAGATATGTGGAATTTATGTCAGAAATTCTGACTAATTTCTTAGACGAATTGGATCTTATAAGTAGACATCATCTGCATTTTCAGCAAGATGGCGCACCTGCCCACAACTCCAGAGGTACTTATCATTTTCTAAGTACTACTTTTAATGATCAATGGCCCAATACAGTGGCCTCCCAGATCACCAGATCTAAACCCACTTGATTACTTCTTGTGGGGTTACTTAAAGAACCAAATTTACAAGCGAAGGTACGATAACCTTGACGCGTTAAAGACTGCAGTTAGGGAAAAGATAACCCAGATAGATGGTAGGACCATACTTAAGACAGTTCGAGCAGTTGAAAAACGTGCCCAAAAATGTATTGAAGAACAAGGTGGTGTTTTCGAGCATCTTCTTTAAAAAAAATTGTTATTGTATTTTGTAAGATTATAAGTTGATGTTGAAAATAAAGTTTGTCGATACAATTTAATTGTTTCAGATTGGAGGCCATAACTTCAACAATTTGTAACCTAGGAGAAAAGTTATTGTAAGCTTTTTTGTTTAAAATTTGATGCTTTAACAGAAAAAAATATAATATACAGGGGTTTCCATTTAAAAAAATGTTATTTTACTGAAAAAAATCAAAATAACGACTCTCAATTGTTTTTTTTTTTATTTCTCATTTTTACCAGCGTTAAAAATGCTACTAGTTTGCTAATTCAAACAACTTTGTATTTTCACTAATAACAAAGTTACTAATGGTGGACACTTAATTTGGATAACCCTGTATAGTAGAATGAGAATCATACAGCCCACAAAAGTATCAAACTAGAGACTCTCCTGTAGAGTGGCTTTTAGTATTATTTAGTAGCATTCTCCTCCATATAGAAGTGTGATACTAGCGCATCATCTGAACATGGAAAATCAGGAAATATTTAATCACAAAAAAGACTTACCGCTCCCCACCCGTCCTGACTAAATATTGCTTCTCTCATGCTATTCAGCTGCTCCAACTGTTGCTTGGTATTGTTGACCGCCGGAGGTCCGTTGTTATTGGCCCCGTTGGCCGGATTGTTGCCTGGGGGGCCGGTGTTGACCGCCCCCGGGTTGTTACCGGGAGCATTGCCACCCTGTGGGTTGTTACCGCCCTGTATAGAGTTGCCCTGCAAGTTGCCGCCCGGTTTGGCATTGGGGGGTTGGCCCCAGCCGAGATTGTTGTTCGACTGGGATGTGGCCGGTTGTTGCTGGTTCGTGGAAGCCGTTTTATTGCCTGGTAGAAAGATGTTTGTTGAGTTTTGATACGAGGTTTTACCAACTCAAGATCGAACTCCAAGAAACGTACAACAGTTTGAACATAGATGCAAATGTTGGCACACAAGTCTGGCAAGATTTTTGTTTCGTAATTACGTTTGTTGGTTACCCCCTAACGTAAACCAAAACATCAAGTGGTTACTTCGCGGTCAACGGCGTAGTGTCGCCTGGGCCCGATCAAAAATTTGCCGTCGTTATCTATTTTAATCATCAGTCTATGAAATTAGTAAAAATGAAATAACGTATCTTTAGATTCCTTAATTAAAATTGTACTTTTTGTGTTTTTTTCCGGTGCAAAATCTGCTATACAATCGTTAATATGGCAAGTTCAATTATCAAAATAGCTAAATTTGATAACATCAACATGTAAATAATAGATCCGGGATAATATTTAACTTTAGTTTAGAGAAGCTCCCCCACAAATGGCATTATGAATCAAGATGTCCTTACAAGTAAAGCTCAATTAAAAGCGCACATTAAAACAAGTCAGAAGGCTGTTTTGCATTTTTTTAACAATATTGCGCTTTCATTATATTTTAATTCAAAATTGTTTTTAAGTACAAAATTATGACAGTGTTCACATTATACTAAATAGTGTTCAAGCCAAATTTACTTTATTTGTTTATTCAAAATAAACTAAGATAGAATGATACAAAATTTAGCTAAACGTGTTCCGAGTTCTGATTCAGTGGGCACATTACGTTTGAAATAGAATTTATTGATTTTTCATTTCAATGCGGGGCTTGGGGTCGTCTCTTTCCACTTCCGCCCGTGGCCATGACTCCTTCTGCACCCACTGCGGGCGGTGACATGACGCAAATTTTTAAACAAAATTTAAGCAAACTACAAAAAATTGGTGCTTGTTTCAGTGAATAAATATTTTCATGTGTTTCGGCTCAATCCTTAATAAGCGATACAAAGTCTGAAAAAACATAACGAAGGCCATATTCAACGATTAAATTTCGTTAAGAAACTCCATTTTCGAGGTTTTCAAGTGCCTTAAATTACAGTTAAAACATTATTCCTTTACACGGCTACATAAACAAGTCTGGGCTAAGCTAATTTTGAAGCCTTGCTATTCAATTGCTGTTCACGCGCTACGGTCCACGTCATTTATTTACAAAGATTTTTGAACTAATTCGCACCGGTTTACCGCCCGACAATCTATGTTAAGGGTCATTCAACAAACTTGATAATAAAAAAAAATTAATTGAACATTTTTAATACGAATGTGAAGTTTTCAAAAGAAAGGATAAATTCTAACAGATACAGTTTCTAATCAATAATTTAAAGTTTAAAACCTGTGAAATAAAATGCTTTTTGTACTAAAAAAGAAAAATAGGAGCATTTCTTAATAAAAAAATGACTAAAAATTCCATGTATGAACTATAATTATAATCATTATGTATTGAAAACACTGGTTACCAAAAGCCTGTTGATCAAGACCGCTATAAATCATTGCCAAGATTCTAATAGTGAATAACACATTTGGATTCATGCATCTATTCAAATAAATAATGTGATTTCTTTCATCTATCAATCTGATTTCATTTATGAATATGTAGTTTTAGACTCAAAATAATAATACTTCATTGTTCAACTCAAAAACTACATTTATTTTGTTATCGATAACGAAATTCGTAAGTTATAAGAGATTAAATGCATGATCGGAAAATGAAATAGAAGTTGTGCAAACTGAGCCTTGTGGCTTGACTATATGACCTGTATGTATATAGTTTGACGAATGCAAAGAAGACGTACTTTTTTAAATTTCCTTGTCAAAATATATATAACCAATAAATAAAAAGGTCACAACCAAAGCAGTACATCAATCAAACCAAAACTAGTATCACACGCTGAGGAAAGGGAGAGACAAACACACAAAGTGCCACAAAAAATTGGTAAACTGGCATTCTACTATCATTTGAATATTATTATACAGCCTAGTAAAATGTTAGTGTGCTAAAACCGTGAACGATAACTAAAATCTAACATATTTTGCAATAAGAAGGAGGATTACCAATCTCTATACCGTAGGTTCAAAACGTCAGAATACTAGTGTTAATCTTTAGAAAGTATCAAGATACATCCACTAAGTTACACAGCGTGTAATAGGATAAACATTGCTTTGTCTTACAAAGAAGTACTTCTATACTGTAAACCCTCAAATGACAGTATGAAGCATCAAAAATTCGCAATATTTTGTGGCATATGTTGTTAGGAGAAAACGTGACATTATGTATAAAAATCAAATTACCATCTTGTGCTTGGTTTTGGTTTGATGTCGGTGGTCGATTAGCATTGTTATTCCACTGGTGAGTACCGGTGTTGTTCGGATTGGCAGGATTAGCGGTGCCCCAGCCGCTACTGTTATTTGCTGTATCACATAACACAAAACAGGAAATTATTTTTAGGGTGTATCAAGAACAGTGTACATCTATGCTAATATACCACCTACTCTAACTGTCTGAATACTTGCTAATCTTGCAGGTGTAATATCACAAGATTTTTTAGTCAATGGTACATTCATCAGAACGAAGGGATTAATAACGACACAGTCATTTTTTTTATATTCCAACTACCACGAATGCGTAAGGCCTAAACACCCATGGGGCTATAGGGGGATACAGGGAAAAGGGGGAACGCCACACGGACTCTGGCGAGGGAACACGTGTGCATGCAACGTGCACACATTCTGGCCCCGCCTACGAGATCCGCCGGGTGGTACCTCTGCGTTCGACAGTCATAGACCGTCTACCACCTACAGACAATCACAACATCCATAGCCAAGAGAAAAATTTCTCTTGGGAGGGGATTCGAACCCGCATGTGTCACGATGACATAGCGACACGTTATACGTACCCTAAAGGCGCAGAACATATGTGCCCTTTTGATGTCTCAGAGACTCTTAGTGCCCGGCGAAGGACCGGATGGTATTCAAATAAATACTATAAAACATGCAGGGGCCACAGTTAAAGCTCAACTGGTCCATGTTATAAATTGGATTCTTAGTACGGGATATTTTCCTCAACGATGGAAATTGGGTGAAATAATACTTTTTGCATAAAAGTGGTAAATATCCTAGACTACCAACATCATAAAGGCACTTTGCTCAATATAATGGGTAAAATTGCAGAAAAAGTTATACTCCAACGAATCGTGACTAGTATAAGTAAAATCATTCCAGGATATCAACATGGTTTCACCAACGGCAAGGAACATAGACGCAACTTATTCGAACAGTTAAAGTCATTACAAATGCACTCGGACAACGACATCACATAGCAGCGGTTACTATCAACCTGATATGCCCATAGAAAACATTGCAGGGCAAACGGCAACACAATTCGCAAATTATTTGTTCGTACTAAATACCCCCGTCCTCGATCAAATATGATAACTTGGGCTCAATCTTAATAAAACAGTAAGCACAGATGACCTTATTAAAGAAAGAATCCTTAAGGCTAATTGAGCAGGTTACACTCTATCTCCAATAATTGGCTTCAGCTCCAACGTTTCTATAGAAGTGAAATTGAAAATAATTGAAACATGCATCTTCCCGGTACCAACATAAGTACTAAATGCTGTGTTCCCACGCATAAGAAAAAGTGGCATTCTTAGAGAGGTGCCTTAAGATGTGGCAACAAGCCTGGATCAGTCGCTTATGAAATTTCTTAAAAACGCCGACGAAAACAAATAAAGCCGATTTTGACCAAAGTAGATCATCCAATCAGCCAGCCCAGTCAGCGGCGTCAAATCCAGCCTCCAAAATTCAAGCGTCCTGCGCACGGTATCTCAATAATAATAATACTTTGTAAAAAGGTTTTATTCTAACCCCCTAACCTCCTCCTCATATTTCACCCCTTTCCTAAGAAGTACATATTTTGAATGTATAGTATACAGAAGCAATATATGTTTTTCATTGTTTATATACAGGGTGACTTTGAAGTTGAGTCATTAATTTTCAGATAATGATTGTAGAAGGAAGATAAACCAAAATATGTGTGTAAAAATAAAAAAAATAAAAAAAAATGTTTACCTTGTTTTATAAAGTATCCTCCCGACAAGTATTTCAGTGCGGACCTGTATTTGATCGTGAGGTCCCCTCTGAGGTCTTAAGTCACCTGATTCACGAGCCCGTTGTACTACATTAACAAAGGCACGAGGGGTTGGTTGCACTCGATTGGGAAACCGATCCGCATAAACATGTGCCATTTTTTATTTCGTTTGAGCCACGCAACAGATACCACCATTCACTGACACTGATTGTATACAAATGAATGAGATACTTGTAAAAACATCGTTCCAAATTTTTTGTTTCCGATGCGATGAACCGATACAGCGGATTATATCCGTTGTCGCCAAACACGACCACATAATATTGTTATTGAGACAGGGCGGTACTCAAACTTCCAAAGGGCTATAACTTTGTTACTTTAATTTTACCAGGAAAACGGTAAAGGAAAAAAATATTTCTTTTGATCAGATCTACTCACTGTTAAAATAAATGACTCAACTTCGAAGTCACCCTGTATAAGCCAAATACGTCTACAGTAACATAATCTATAAAAAATAAAGGTTACAAATTGAAAATTGATGCCCGGCATAGGTCATTTGCTATGGACACGAAGATTCTACAACGAATACAATGAAACTAAACCTTTCTTTTCCCAAATGTGATAAAATAAAAAACTATTCAGCAGAACTCTATACCAGAATTGTTAGACGAAATATACAGTTTAAAGCCGCATCCTTAGGATCCAGCGTGGATGGTTGTATGGTAGCGCGCACCTGAAAACTGAGCGGCTTGACATAAAACCATTTGGAGCTAACGGGGACGCGTTGAAACTATGGCTGCTCGTATAATTTGAACTATAGAAATGGTATTTTCCTTATACGTCGACGCTGACGCGATGCGTTTAACATACGTAGATGTCATTATGGTGTAACTAAAGTCTTTAAAATGTACGTGAATTTTGATAAAAAGGTATGTTCTAGTTGTCAAATGGGTAATGTGATATGAGCAATTATATTTATCCTGCAAGATGAGAAGTTTCACAATGGTGGTAAAATAATTTCAATAAAATAACCGATGATACGTCCAACTGGAAGTGCACATAATACAGATACATTGGTAGATAGATACCTAGAAGATTGTTAGAAAATATGGAAAAAATAAAATATACAAAAACAAATTTCGATAAAATACTTTTATCAATCTCTATGAACTAACAGGTGCAATGTATTTTGAATACATAGTAATTTCAGCATAATTCCAAAGTAACTTTTGCGGACCTTTTTTATATATGTATACTTAAAACCACCACGAAGGCTTAAGGCCTAAACACCCATAGGTACCGTGGGGCTATAGGTGAATACAGGGGAAAGGGGGGGAGGGACGCCACACAAGGGAACACGCGTGCATGCAACATGCACACATTCTGGCGCTGCCTTAGTTCTGTCGGGTGAATCCTCTAGGTTCGAAAGTCAGAGACCATCTACCATCTCCGGACAATCACAACATCCGTAGCCAAGAGCAAATTTCTCTTGGGACGGGATTTGAACACGCGCAGCGCACAGTGACTGATAGACCTGAAGCGTCTACCACTACGCCATAATGTAGGAATAAATTTTGAATTTGTTCGCGCGCTTGCGTGTGACGGATGACAGTTGCCTTAGACTGACGTTTGGTCGTTGATATTTTATATTTGACATTATTTGATATAGGATTACCAAAATTAAACAATATGCTACCTCTGAATATTAGAAATAATATAACATCCAAATCGAAATTTGAAACTCAAAGAAATGGGTGGTAGATGGTGGAAGAACGTTTTTCAGTGAATTAGTGAATATATTTTATAAATCGTATAGTGCAGTGCAGTGTAGTGAGTATAGGCCCCAACTAGACACCCAATATGGACTCGACAAAGATTACTATTGTAGACAATTAACCTTCCTATAGAGAAACCAAACTACTGATTTGTACAATTATCCTGATTTGGATAAAAAATGACAGCTTCAGTGGTGTTATTCGGTGTATTTTATAAATGTACACAGATATGGCTGTCACAAATAAACACATATTATTACTATTAGAATCGGGTGCAAATGGCTCAATTATTTTATGTGGTTTGATGAATGTGTGACTAGCGCATTCTTACCATGCAAATGCAATGCTGTTTATTGTGGAAAATCGTACAAGTGGAGAATGATTGGTTCATTGTTTCTGTCATATGAAATTGATAACCTGTAAAATGTCGAAGGCAGTTATTAAGCGAATTTTGTAGCATTTTGTTTCATGAAGCATTTTCTGTAACATACTTTTGTTATTTCGATTTAAATCCTAGAGATACAAATAAAACAAAAGTAAATAATATAATTACATAAAGTGCTTTTCAAAAAGGTCCCATCTTACAAATTTTTGAACAGGAAAAGTTAGCATGCCGAAATTAGGGGTGATGAAATTTACACATTGTAACACCCTATATAGGTAGGTCACAGACAGCTAGTTTGTCCGTTTAAAGTATTTTATTATGTGCCATATGATGCCAAATTTTAGGTTAGATATGTTGTGATTTGATTGGCAGGCAGCAGCATGGAACCTATGTACCAGGAGAACCAGCGAAATGAGAAAGAGACGACCCCAAAACTTGACGACTGGCTTAGAGCGAACTGATCGAAGCGAGTTCCGGCTACTAAGTATGCGCAGAATATCGGAGGAGGTTATAGTACAAGCGGGAAGTTTTAAATACTTTATGATTCTAAAGGCAATTAATTTAAATAAAATACAGTATAACATTAAGAAACTAGTATTATGCCATTTTTATTTCTTAAAAATAATACCGCGTAAATGTCATCCCCTTCTCTGTATGCACTCTTGAATTCTTTCATGAAAATTCGCCATATCACAGTGTTACATATCCACAAGAATCTAAGCAATTTCTTCAATAATGTTTCTTTTAAGCTCCTGAATGGTTTTTGGTTTAGGTACCCCCATAAAAAGTAATCGCAAGCCGTTAGGTCTGGCAACCTTGGCGGACAGTCAATGTCTCCTCGTCTGGTAATAACATGTTGCGGAAACAATCTTTGCAAGGAACTTAATGACACTCTCGTGGTGTGTGAAATAGCACCATCCTGCTGGAACCATGTTTGATTATTATGTGGAAATCTGCTCAAGCGGTGACTCAAAAACTGGTACATCATATCGGTATAACGCACAGAGTTATTTTCTAAATCCAATAACGACAATTTTGTTTGTAGGTACAGCCGGATAAAAGGAAGTGCGCCTCGTCAGACATCCAGAAATTGTGTATATCAATTTCATACTCAAACAGGGTTTCAGCAAAACGTAAACGAGCCAAGATGTCTGTTGGTGTCAATGCTTGGACAATTTGGATTTTGGAACTCTTCCACGTCGACCAATTTGGAAATAAAGTCGGAAATGTCGCTGAGCGGCAACCACAGTTATTGTTTTTATAGGACGAATGCATCACAAATGCAGGTTGCTCATCAGACCACTGCCCCATGATTACTAAATGGCATAGAGTGACAGATGATTTCAAAAAACAATCAATAGCCAACTACGCATAGTTACGGAATAACAACATTATCAAAACTTCCCGCACCCGGGGACCACCTTGTATAAGATCTGGCTGCTTGAATCTGCAGGTACGTTTTTTTTATATAACTATTTTTATGAATGGTAAATAATAGTAGAACTGGCAAAGACAACCCTGCTGTAATCTGTTCAACTGTTATCATTCATAAAAATCAAGTTTTATAAAAAAAACAGATACCTGCAGATTCAAGCGGCCGAATCTTAGACTATTAGGAAAGTGTTCCTATGGTCGATCTGTCAAAACAAAGCTTTGCCAGATGGGTCGGACAATTTCCTCAGAATAAGTACAAACATCCCTCGGATTTGGTTTTTCAAAAACATTCCCCAAATCAGAGTTAATCAATGGAAAGGGGTAGGTTTAGTTCAAAGAGCGAGGGATGCTTTCTATCCGCGAAACGTGTAAAATCTCCCGAACATTATGTCGCTAAAATATTCTTCAAGTAAAAATCCCCAAGTTTGGGGGAAAATCCCCTAACATGGCAACCCTGTCAAAGCATTGCTGGTACTCTAGGCGTCAACTTTTAGGCTCGTTTTCACAGCACGAAAAGCATTTCCGTAGATTCTCCTGATACATATATAGGCTCCATGGGTAGCAGATTAGGGGGAACTTATAAGAAAACAAAAGATCACTCAATATAAGGGCAAGAAGCAAAGACGAATACGGAGGAATATGAATGAAAACATCATTGAATACAGATGGGTTGAGATTATGATGTCTCAAAAAAACCTAAACTTGTATGTGTTCCAATTGGACGCCTTTACCTTAGCAATAAAAAATCCCCCGCTACTTACCATTGTTATTATTGGCCTGTTGAGAGGGAGGCGTACCCCATCCTGATGTACCAGTGCTGAGGCTGCTCTCGCCGCCGCCTCTCAGCCTTAGTGGGGGCACGGGGACGCAGTCCCCTTCGATTGTGCGCGTCTTTGTAGTCGTTTTCATCGCTTTGGTCAAATCTTCCTCGTTGTTGTCATTTTTTAAGGTTTTGATTTCATCCTTGTCTTTAGTCGTGGTCATCATTGTGGAAATGGCGCCAGTTAGTTTCAGTGCATTGAGGTTATCGTCGCCATCGTCGAACACATCATGCTGCAGTTCATAGAAGTCATCAGCCTTTTGGTTGGGAATGTCTCGTCCGGGAGGTAAAGCACCAAACTTACTACTACCTGTAATAACATACACACTGCATGTCCTAGTAAATTATTTGTTCAATTTTTTTATTAGAAATTAGAGCGTGGACTAACTGTTAGAAAGTGTGAGTGATTCATCCTTCAGAGGATTGTACTCCTGAGCACTGATAGAACAGTTTCTCAAGGCCATTCTCAGGAAAGCACGGAAAGCCTTCATCATTAACCAGTCTCACTACAGAAGAAACTAAACTATGTGATTCGCCGAAAACGGTTGCATTTACAAACATGTTTGATAAACGTCAACAGCTATCAGATATTGGGATCTTTCCCCATGCCGCCTTCTATTCTACTGTGCTAAAGAATTGACCCCCAGGCGGATTGTTTGGATAGACGTAATCGTTGAGTAATGTCTACAAAAATTTCACGCCGGGTTAGATTGCATTATTTTGCAACTCACTGGTCATTGCCATTGCATTCCGATGTAATCTCTTAAGATGATAGGCCCTTTAAAGCAGTAAGGGCCTATCATCTTGTGTCTCTTGGTAGTGAATATTTTACAAAATATTACAATAGGAGCATGTGATAACATACCTAACTTACAGCTACTGTTATTATAATTATTGTGGGCTACATCATCAGTTATACGTTGTATTTTTGGTACGGTAACAGAGTTCAGAAGACAATTGTTTTCGGTCACAGATTGCATCGTCATCCTAACGTTAGAGTTGCCCACCTGGGTGGCAGGGCAACTTGAGCCGTTTATCACAGACTGATCGCCTCCTTGTCCATCTCGTTGTGTGCACTGAAACAAAAACAGAGTCAAAGTCGATCGATTTACATGTGTGATATGGTGATACGACTGACCATCAAATTGGTCAAATAAGCAATTTGATGTTAGAAAAAATTGAATTTCAAGCATATCTTTCTCCTTTGTTCCTAAAAGTTAAATATATAGTTATGGGATGACATACATGTTTTGAAAATAACTTATTATAATTCGAACATCAAGCAAATATTTTTTTGCTGTGATAATTTACGGGTTTTGAGAGTAACTCATATAAACTGTGATACATAACTCTATGAAAACAGAAGTTGTTCTCAAAACCTGTATGTCATTCTACACTTACAAGATTTGTAAATCAAGTGACGAGAGTGGCAACACATTCTTCGATCTGGCAACACTGGAGTCGCACCGCTTGGAGGGGAGACAGGGAAACATGTGATCCGCCTTCAGAATAAGTTTGAACTCGTTCGAGTCGTTTGGTTATCGTAACGATTTTTTTTGTGAAACAGTTGTTTCTATTGTGTTCTAAAATTGAGTGGTATCAATTTCAAGTGATGGTGTGGTATCTGGTTTTGCTTCAGACTTGGGAACAGTGCAACGGAAACTTTCGCTAAACAGCCCACTGAGATAGTGTTTTGTCAAGAGACAAGATTTTTCAGAATGGAGAGAGTCGAAGATGAACCACAAAGCTGAAGGTCTTCATCTTCAAGAACCGATGAAAATATAAACAGATTCCGCGATCTTGTGCTTTCAGATCGTCGGTTGACAGTCAGAATGATCGGAGAAGAGTTAAATTTGACTCGTACCACCACTCATCAGGTCGAGAACAACTGGGTGTTGCATCACGATAATGCTCCTTGTCACACAGCAATGTCAGTAAATGAGTTTTTGGCCAGTGAAAACATTCATGTCGCTCCTCAGCCTCCTTATTCCCTTGACGAGTCCTTGTGACTTTTTTCTCTTCCAGAAGTTAAAAAATCACCTCAAGTGAACCTCAAAATGTTAGGACAGTCGAAAGCATTTAAATGGTTGTAACCAATCAGCTGAATGCTATTCCACTATCGGGGTTCCAGCACTGCCATGAGGAGTGAAAGAACCGTCTCCAGCACTGTGTGGCTTCAGAAGGAAGTTATTTTGAAGGTGACAATATAAAATTGTAATTATATTTGGATAAACATTTTTTAAAAAACCAGTCTCATCACTCAATTTACAGACCTCATATTTAAATGCTGGGGCAACATGCGGAATACTACACCATTAGTTTACTAAGAAGAAGAAAAATGCTTGAGATTCCAATTTATTCTAACCTCAAATATTCAACCTGTTATAAAAGCCTCTCAAGTCAAAATTTCCATTTTTGTCAACTATTGTTATGAACGATCGAATTTCGGCGCACTGAAGTAAATAATGATTTCGAATATGGTTATAAAAAAATACTAAAGTATCACAAAAAACTATTTCGAGTGAGGAAATGGGACTTCTATATCCTCACGTCGATCGCAGCGAAAAACTAGCATCACATTTATAATCTTCAGCCCAATTTAATCAAGAAACAGGTTGTCACAGAGATCAAGAATTTTTGAAATATTTTTCCTTTAAACACTAAAAACATTGTAAGGCTGTATCTGGAGAAAAGAAATAGAGCTTCTGGGTTCTCTTGTAGATCTCAGCAAGGATTTAACATCAACCTCGAGATCTACGCAGCCGATTTACCACAGAAATCAGATTACATCTAAATTGTAGACACGAAAAAAATTGTCTCTAAAATGTCACAAGGCAAAATTTTAATTTTCGTTACCAGTTATTACAAGTGTACAAAGCTCGGTACATTTAAGAAATTTGGGATGCTGATTCAAAATAAAGCCATTGTTTTAGTCTGATGAATCCCTATTTGGAAAAAGAATATCGAACTTTTGGGGTCTGCCATTCAGCTCAACAAAAAACTGTTATCAGATTGGTGAATTTGGGACATTGATTTCAAATATTGCATAAGCAAATCCTTAACTGTAGCAAAGTCCAATTTGGAGTAAGAAAACCATACCTTTAGGACAACTTGTCAATCTCAACAGAAAACTAAGTACTGATCAAAATTAATTCAATTCTTAGCTGACTTGAAATTTCGCCATTGACATTAGCAAACAAGAATTGATCAGTACTACTATTAATTTTTTCAAGTTAGACTTACCACGAGGGAGGTAGAAGGAAGGCGTCTTGGGGTAGGTAGAGGGAGGTCGGCTCTGGCCCCCCTATCCCACCCATTCACTTGTACTGGGGGTGGTGATGGTGAAGCGCCGCCCCTCATGGCTGACTCTTCAGGCACTTGGTAGGTAGGAAATTGATTATTACTATTATTATTAGTTGTAGTAGTAGATTTCGGCTCGGAGGGGGGAGGGGCGCGCATCTCAACTAGTGCTCCATATCTCAGTCTGGCCAGCCAGAGATCTGAAAAAAAAAAAACGGCTATGTAGTTTATTTGTAGTACGATATTTTCCAAAATTGTTTTCTGGGAATGCCAATATTGTGACTCAAGAAAGTATATTCTGAGTGTTTGGCCTTTTCTGAATGTCCAAGATGTGCCAATAAAGTTGTGATGAAATAATTTTTGAACTTTCCTAGAGGTTGGCCTTCTGTCAGGAAAAGATTCTGTAAAATTGACAATTTGACATGAAATGAAATGTCAGTTTTACTAGACTACAGACTAAAACTCAAATCCATTTGAGAGTTTTTCTTTGATATATGAATTTCAAATAAGTTATTCTTTAATAAATATTCAGGTCAAAAAATTATGAAAATTCAATCATGTTTAGGTGTAAAAATGGCTACCACTGACATTGTAAAGCAATTTAGCAAAACCTACTTATGCTCTGATATCTTATCAAAATGATATTATAATATATAAATAGGTTTTATCAAAACCTCCATGATTGTTAAATATACTAAGTGACATATAAATCCGAACACCCAGTTTAAATGGTTTTATTTTAATAAAATTTTGTATAAGTACTTAATGAAGCATAATAAGTAAATGATAAAAATTTCAAAATGATTGCACTGCTTTAAAGCCCTTTGACCTTTTATAATGTGTGGATGCACCCTGATGTGCTACGCATTCTCCAACGCGCCTAGGCATGCTTCTGATCAGGTGGTCAATGTCCTCCTGTTGTATCTCATTCCAGGCAACCACCATCTCCTCTCGAAGTGCTTCTAGAGTCTGAGGAGGACGTTGCAAATTGAGCAATCTCCTACACACACGTGCTCAATTGGGGATAAGTCGGGAGTTCTTGGTGGCCATGGCAACAGTGTGACATCATTATGTTGAAAGAAGTCTATTGTGACTCTTGCAACATGTGGTCGGGCATTATCTTGTTGGAAAGTTGGATCTGCCAGGGTGTCAAGATAGGGTAAAAGATGGGGTTCTAGAACTTCGTGGATATAACGCTGCGCGTTCATGTTACCTCTGATGAAGATTAAAGGTGACCTGGAACCATAAGCTATAGCACCCCAAACATAACTCCAACAGTGTGATGAACATGTCTTTCAACAAAAAACTGTGGATTCCTACTTTCACCACGTCGCCTTCTAACCCTGGTACGACCATCGTGCATGCCTAAACAAAATCGAGACTCGTCACTAAAGACAATACTGTTCCATTCCTGATCCCAGAGTGACCGATGTTTGCACCACTCAAGGCGATTACGTCGGTCTTCTCGAGTTAAAGGGAGGACCCAGTGTAGCCGGTATGCAAACAAGCCAAAACTTCTCATTTGTCGGTAGACACTTCGCATGCCAATAGGTCTTCCGTGTTCTGCAAACCATTCATTTGCAATGGACCTTGTTGGTGAGAAACGGTCCCTTAAGGCCAATAATCTTAGGCGGCGATCTTCACGGTCTGTTGTTCTACGGCGGTGTCCAGTGCCCCTTGCTCTTTGCGTACGGCCTTCTCAAAGCCATGCCTGACAACACCTAACCACAGTGTCTACACTTCTTTGCACTCTAACTGCAATTGCCCGAAAAGAAAGTCCAGCTTACCGAAGTCCCACTATACGGAACCTATCAAACTCATTAAGTTGACGAAATCGTACAGGTCTCCGTACTCTAGGCATCGTAACCGATCGTAAAGGATGTCAAGAACCAAAATCCGCCAACGTTGATTCTTTACTGCGGTTGAAATATTCATTTTTAGAGCGTTAGTGAATTAAAAAAAAGCAGTATAAAAACCGGAATGTCCAACTGATAAGGCTGAAAATTTTTTCACTTGTTATTTACAGTAAGATAAATACATTCACCAACTTTTATTAAAATAAAACCATTTAAACTGGGTGTTCGGATTTATATGTCACTTAGTATAGTATGAGTTAAAGATATATTTTAAGATTCAATACAATATCTAAAACAGGTATACGTGTAGAATCTTGTATATGATTAGATAGAATAATCAATGTGCACTAAAAGTGATTTAAATATAAATTGGCAATTTAAAGAATGTGATTAATTTTGTATAAATATCAATTATGCTTTAGATGCATTTCACTAGATTGAATGCTAATTAGACTTTGTGTAAGGAAAGTTAAGTCTTTATACCAAGGGCACATAAAGGCATATTCTGTTTTTGAGAATCCTGCAGTGCCTTTTTTCAGTTTAAGCTTTATTTGCAATGCAAAAAAATGTGCATGTTCAGCCAACTTAAAGCAGTTCAGCACTTTTATGCTGAATAGCAGCAGCCATGGAAGAGCTTTGTTAATTTTACAGAAATTTTCACTTGGCTATCATATTTGATGTCTTATGGGTTAATTTTTGCAAACTGTCACTGCTATTCTACAGCTACTTCTTTTCAACATAAAGGCAGTGTGTTGGTGGACCACTTTATATTGGCTGAATGTGATACTAGTTTCTACAAAATTAAGTTAAAATTGAAACCATATCTTGAAATTACATTTTTCAATTACTTTTTAATCCTTCCAAAAGAAGCACATTTATAAGGCAATCAAAAGGTATATATACTCAACATCTTAAACCTACATTTTTATTGATGATAGAAAGCATGAGGCCCTAACCTACTCAAATTTAGAAGAATTCCCTAGAATCAATGCCATGTCGAGGCCATCAAGAATGCTGAATTTAAATCTACAGGAATCTGTGCTGTCTTTGCGAGGAGGTTACAAAATAAACACAACTGAAACATGTCATAGTAGGAGCAATTCATGTTTGGTAAGAACTAACCCAAAATTATCTTTACTTATTAGTAAAGTTTTTCTTAGGAAATAGTGTGGATGGTTGTTATTTACATCACAACTGGACTTTTGCTGCATTTAGTTTAATTCCATTTGTACTTTTTTATGTTCAAATGAAAGATAGATCAGATTTAACTGCTATGGTACCTGTTCCATGGACTTACCTATGTTTTATGAAAAACATAGCAGTAATCTTTGCACACATAAAAATAGCTAGACAGATTATTTTTTGATAAAGCATTCATTTTTTGGAGAGTATTTCAAGGTTTGGGAAAGGCACATCAGCACAGACATTGAACATTGCATTTAAATTGTTTGACTAAACAATAGTAATGTAATACTAAGCAAAATCAGGTACTCGCTAAAATGGGCCGAGTATGCAGAGTACCGGGTACAAACCCAGTACACAGTGCATCCCTATTCAAAATATTCAGAATCTGAAGATAGATTACACAACTACTACAGTAACTTTTTACACGCATCAGTTACAGAAATTAGGAGCCAATTTGGATGCCCTTTGAGACAAAAGTGGCTAAATTCTATTAGGATTATTAATATACTCAAGCGTATATTTGGAAAGGCTAGAATGCGTCACATTTCACAAAAGCAGAACGTATCACTTATGATGTATCCAAGTCCGTTTTAGCAAGTTCACCCTGTAAAAAGGTTCATTTGTATACGAACATCCCAGACTAAATAAAAAATAAACCTGTCGAACCTGATAATACCGACCCAAAAATACGTTTTTTTCACCACCTACATAGCTAGAATAGTAAACACGATGAGCATAATATTAGAATGTAAAAATATCTATTTTAAACGATTGTGCAAGTCGGGTAGGCGTTATGTGTGATATCTTTTGTCGGAGAATTCGAAAATTCTCTCTATGTGTAATCTAGATACGAAAATAGAACGGTGCAAGTAAAAAATAGGCTCGAGAACGTGCAAGGATATCAACAAGAAGCCTTTGCCTTTCTCATCTCGCACTGATATTGCGGTCAAATCGGACAAACTTTGCAGCGCTACATGCACACGTCCAGGTTTTTGTAGTATCTATCACTACAATATACATTAAATATAACCGGAAAAGCATCGGAGATTGCTACAAAGCTCAGTCGCGTGCAAGTAAACATAGATTTGTATTAAAATAAATAAAACTTACGCACAAATATGGACGCCAGAAGAACAACCAGCGGAACTTGTGCTAGGAGAGTGGGGTTGAACGATCCATAAACACACAGACGTGATTATCGAATGCGCACTGTACGAGTTCACAGGTAAAAAGTTTAGTGTTTATATCACACATATGCAAATGAGAATACTTAATATCACAATTTTTTCAACAATTTGGCGTTAAATACTAGTATTTTGTGGGCACCACAGATTTGTTTATTGATCCATCATTAGTACGTGGCAGCGCTGGCTTGCTGAAACCGAACGCCTGGATCGGTCCGTTTCGATCCCAGTCGGCGGTGGAAAGCGTGCGAATCGGAAAGTAGTTTGGACTGGTTGCGCGGCGCGCCGCGTTGCCGATATCCACATGGATTAACCCAGATTATGGGACAACGGGTTTGAAATTATTAAAAATATACATAGATTTATGAACACATCAAAGCAACGAGGGTTCAGCGCTGCACAACATTTTTTTCCAATCTGACGTAATGACTCCAAAGATCCAAAGATTCCTGTACCAGAATCAACTATACACCTCATAAATCACGTCACATAATTTGTAGAGAGATCTTATCCCGTCATTTGGAGAGGCTCACGTGGTTGCTGTGGAAACAAGTAGGGATATCTGTTTGAGGCTATGAATACTTTTCTCCAGTTAACCTCCTCACTTTGTAAATGGCCCAGATAAGAGGGTTATACAGCACTTAGGTCCCGTTGTGCCATGTCAAACGATTGGAAAATGTGGTGATACGACTGAAAGTAGTTTCCCTTTCACTAGTCACAGAAGGCCAACGTTACCCCAAAAATAATTCTCGGTTTGATAGGATAGCTGAGCAGTCGCAAAGCAAGTTCACATTCTATACATCGTGATGTCGCCCAGTCTCATAGAGATGTTTGCTGACGGTCCAGTTGTAATGCCAGTGGCAAACCGAAGTTGGTTTCTGGACATAGACAGGTAGTATTTTACTACTTCCTCATCGTACTCGGGAACCAAAAAGGAACACAGCAGCTAAACACAGCACACCCCCATGTTAAGGCGGGATCTTTTCGAATTGACAAAGTCGGCGCGCACATTCTAACGCTGTCGAACTCCGTACATCAAAAACTGGTAGACTAGACAGTCGAGCAAGTTCGCAAACATTCCAGGCCGCGCCTCGCACTATGATCAAAATTAAATAGTAAATTCAGACCAGTCAAAATTATTTCAATATACAAAACAGATCCAAATTATTTTTTTGAGTTACAAAATAATTCGAGTAGTTAGGGCAATAATGCTTAAACTATTTCAAATTATTTACTTCTTTTTTTTGCTCTATTTCTTCCTTCCTTTCTTTCCCTTTTCCCCTTAAACATGTTTAGTATCTGGGTAGCCAGACCTGACAGACTAACAGACCGACGAGGCTTTCAACTAAGGCCCGTATCGTCAGTCGTCCCTACAATTGTAGGGCGCCTTTATGACCTCCTTGATTGTCATACTCCTTTCTCTCCTTCAAAAATTTCTAGATTACACTTGTCCCGTGTCAGCATCAGCGCTCTTCTATTGTAAATATATGTTCTCTTTTTAAATTGTAGGAAATTTCAGGCTGATAAAACATGATATAACTTAAAAGCAAGCACAATTTGATGCAAATAGATGTTTGTGACATAACCTCAAAATAGAGCGCTGACACGGAGAAGTAGAAAACTATGACAATCAAGGAGGCCATAAAGGCGCCCTACAATTGTAGGAACGACTGACGATACAGGCCTAAGAGCAAAGGTCCACCGGACCGCTCTGACGAATAGTAGTATCAAAAACTGGTCAGTACAATAGATCGTTTGAGAGAAAAATCTTATCAAGTTATAATAACCTTAAATTGTTCAAAAATGAGATCAATCAAATACCTCTCAAATTCAATCAGAAGTCGTGGTATGTCGACACTTGAATTTTTGCCTTCGCGACTGCGATTTTAGCTGTGAGATGTTTTATTTACACACTTCTGTTCAATGCCCACCAGATATGCTTTGCAAATGGATTGTGGAGACCATCTTTCTAATCGTGAGATTCTTCTTAGTGCCTTTTCATCCAACTGTCTCAACGCGGGTGTTTCGCAATGATCGGGTTTAGATGATAGTCTCCTTTTTAGCATCCAAACGCAAATCTAGCCGAAGCTTAGAAGGAAAGTATGTCTGATGCTATCGCTCCTGTATTCTTAGGGTATTGTGAAAACATTCTCCCAGAAGCCTTTGATGTTGGGGAACTGACCAAATCTTAGCACACTTGTTATATGATTCATGAAGGGAATCATTCAAAATTATAATTATTTCTATATACGTTTGAGTGTTGATCTACAAGTTATCTATAGGAGAGTAAGTGAAAATTAACCAAATTCAATATAAATATCTAAATAATATCTTGAAAATTGCTCCTAACGGATGGCACGTGGCAACGGCGCATCAAGTCCTAGATAGAGACGAGAGGCCCTCGTTTTATTTTCCTGGAATGCAATGTAAATAAAAACAAATCTGCAATCTGCACCGGACGGACGGGCTAATTGAAAATACGGCATCACTATCACACAAAGCCATCTAACGTACCGTGAAAGGGTAGTTGGTTTTTATTAATGATACAGCGTCCTTTGTATGGGTTTTGTTCGAGATGTTTTCCGTTAGCTTTTACACGGTTTGAGAGTTAATCAATCAGGCTTTTATTTTAATGGTCACGGTTTATCAGGATTACTGGTGATAACAGAGATATCAATATTTAAATCGATGGAAATGCTAGTGATTTGTAATCACCTACGGGGGAGATAAGATTATTTATAAAAATAAAAATGACGTAATCAGACACCACATTAGAAGTGATACAAGGTATCTCAGAATAAGATGACAATCTCCCGGATGCATAGAGCCACAACTACCTGGAAAAATTTATTGTAATGCAGAGATACAGAATACAGGGGATCGGCTGCACTGTAATAAATATGTATGGCAATAAGATCATTATTATCAAAAAAGGTTCATTTTGTGAAAATCATATAAGAATACAATATGTTCAACAAATTAGGCTTTTCAAAAATAGTTATTTTTGAGCCATAATTAGACAGGATGTAAAAATAGCAATATTATGTAGGCGTTAGTCCGTTCCTGACAATCTGAACGAGTTAATGGTTTTCTACGCAAGATGTGAGGACCAATACTATGCTGACAAATTTTCTTTGAATTACAGCGTGTCCTTCAAAGGCTATTCAGGAGAAACTGATTTTGAGCGTTACTCGCTTCCTTTAGGGGCCTATGGCTCCGTACAGAAGCTTCATACGTTTTTCTGGGCTCCAGATGCATTCAGGAGACTGTCTTTCTATGCTTCGTATATACCCTCTTGAAAACACTCAGAATACAGATCTGGTCTGGCACCGAAACGGAAGAGAGTATCAAAACACAACGTTGGTCAATGTCAAAGAGGCGTGCATCTGAACTGGGATATTTTTTGGATGGAGGAATGGGGATATTCACCTACAGACTTTGCCGATACAGCAATGGCGTACTCTCTTCATGGGCGCGACGCCCCCTTTCCCCAATGAGAAGCCGGTAAGACCTTAAAATTCGCATATTTAACATGGTTTTGTGTACAATTTTGGAGAATTTTAGGATTTGGCCCCATGAGAAAATTTGCTACCTTCGTTCTTCAATAGTTTTTAGGGGCAGGTACACTCCCACAAAAGTTATCTCTCGCCGATGATCGCCCTCACCCGGGGAAAATTCCTTCGGGGCCCATGACTCTCTTCCATGTTGGTGTCCGAGTTCAAATAAGATTAGTTATGTGTGAGGTGCCGCCTGTATGGAGAAACAGAAAAGATACTGCTTGATGCCAATGCTCTGAATGACGGAAGGCTCACGTTCTCGGTAAAATCAAGAGTGAAGATAAGAGGCAAAGTCCAAAAGATTTCGAAGAATTACTGTATTATTTTTTGCTCCACCAGGGAGAAATTTTATTGATCATGCACAGGAGCTAGCCCTAACCACTGGATCCGCTCCTGAAATAGCGAAGCTCATCTAAATTGTATTTCTCGTTTCCAAAACAGGAGACAGGGGGTAAGGGAGAACAGGGGGTGTAGACAAGCGACGTGACCCGGCACGTGTGGATCGTATTGGTCTGGCAATGTAGTATCGAAACATAGGAGACCCGACCTTCGTCCCGACGATATCTGGGTCAAACCAGAGCCGATGTTCACAACTAGTTTTATATCCGAATTCCTAATCACCAGGCACTTCCGAACACTACTGCGGTCAATTGCTATTACAGTATTAATAATATCAGAAATTGAACAGACATATCGTTTGAATGTTTCCAAACTGAACTACATTATTCATTATCAAAAAATTTATTGTTGGAAGAAAAAGTAACCCAATGTCAATAGAACAAGTTGCAGGCTTGTGGTGGGAGCATATGGCGACCTTGTGTGTGGAGCTTGTTGGAAGAGCACCTGCTGGGCACATGTACCACAGCATCTAGCAGACTGTTAGAACGACTTGTATATCTAGTGCAACATGCGACATATTTTCTTCAAGATCTGAGACGCTTTGTCTGTAAAAAACATGTTGCAAGCTGAAATTTCCACGGAGGAACTTGCGGCGCACGTTCCGCGCCGCAGTCACTTGGCGCTTTTTGTGTCTGGCGCTTGTTCTACATGTTCGGAGCAGATATTTGAAAAAGAAAACGTACCTGAACGACAGCCAGCGGTGCTACGTATGGCCCACCAAATGACCACTTTGATAGCCTTATTGCGTTTTTTTGGGCGAAAGTGACTAAAATCGCGGATTTCAGTGAGGTAGTAGACGCTGATCTAAAGCCGCGTATACATATGCGAGCCGAGCCATTCGTGGACCGCTCAAAAACTGTTCGTTGACATTATTTTTACAGCGAACGTCTAGCGATCCATGGAATAAAGCCGAACCAGCCTCAAACTACCAGCAAATTCCGGTCTGTGTACTTCAGTTTGAATATCTTCACGCGAGGAAATTTACTCGATCATGGTAATGAGTGGTGCGTCTTTAGTACTTGGTAGTTTTTGTGAAAGAAAAAGAGGAAACAAAGGCGTTGGTGGCTACTGATTTATATAAGAAACTCAGTGGTATGGAACTTGAAATTACAAGAAATGAGCTGCCAATATAAAAACTTTATGCGAATGTGATTTTGAAAATCTGTTCTGAAAATTGGTACCCAAATTTCGAAAGTGGAAAGATATTTTCGCACCCCACCTCTGCTCAAGACAGGTGAGTAGTCAGACTGCGTGTGTTAGTATATTTCGTCACGTTATGCATAAACAAGACAACCATTTTTCTACTTTTTGAGTTGAGTACATTTCCACACTTATTGCTATATTTTAGTATGTTCTGTGGAAACAGGATTTTCTTGACGATATTGCTTCATTACATTTATCCTGATTTTTCAGAATTATAAATACAGGTATAAGTGTGAAAATGATTCTCTTCCGACAACTCCACATTCGAAAATAATGCTTGCTAGCAGCACCACGTCACACAAACACGTCCCAATATGAACTGCGAATCCCTTTGTGTTCGTCAGAAAAACCGACAGGACACAGTTCGCAACGACCGGCTCAGAAGTGCAAATATACTAAGTGACATATAAATCCGAACACCCAATTTAAATGGTTTTATTTTAATAAAAGTTGGTGAATGTATTTATCTTACTGTAAATAACAAGTGAAAAATTTTTCAGCCTTATCAGTTGGACATTCCGGTTTTTATAATGTTTTTTTTTAATTCACTAACGCTCTAAAAATGAATATTTCAGCCGCAGTAAAGAATCAACGTTGGCGGATTTTGGTTCTTGACATCCTTTACGATCGGTTACGATGCCTAGAGTACGGAGACCTGTACGATTTCGTCAACTTAGCGAGTTTGATAGGGGCCGTATAGTGGGATTTCGGGAAGCTGGACTTTCTTTTCGGGCAATTGCAGTTAGAGTGCAAAGAAGTGTAGACACTGTGGTTAGGTGTTGTCAGGCATGGCTTCGAGAAGGCCGTACGCAAAGAGCAAGGGGCACTGGACGCCGCCGTAGAACAACAGACCGTGAAGATCGCCGCCTAAGATTATTGGCCTTAAGGGATCGTTTCTCCACTACCAGGTCCAATGCAAATGAATGGTTTGCAGAACACGGAAGACCTATTGGCATGCGAAGTGTTTACCGACGAATGAGAAGTTTTGGCTTGTTTTCATACCGGCCACACTGGGTCCTCCCTTTAACTCGAGAACACCGACGTAATCGCCTTGAGTGGTGCAGACTACGGTCACTCTGGGATCAGGAATGGTACAGTATTGTCTTTAGAGACGAGTCTCGATTTTGTTTAGGCATGCACTAGGGGCGTGCCAGGGTTAGAAGGCGACGTGGTGAAAGGAGGAATCCACAGTTTTTTGTTGAAAGACATGTCCATCACACTGTTGGAGTTATGGTTTGGGGTGCTATAGCTTATGGTTCCAGGTCACCTTTAATCTTCATCAGAGGTAACATGAACGCGCAGCGTTATATCCACGAAGTTCTAGAACCGCATCTTTTACCCTATCTTGACTCCCTGGCAGATCCAACTTTCCAACAAGATAATGCCCGACCACATATTGCAAGAGTCACAATAGACTTCTTTCAACATAATGATGTCACATTGTTACCATGGCCACCAAGATCTCCCGACTTATCCCCAATTGAGCACGTGTGGGATATGATGGGTAGGAGATTGCTCAATTTGCAACGTCCTCCTCAGACTCTAAAAGCACTTCGAGAGGAGTTGGTGGTTGCCTGGAAGGAGATACCACAGGAGGACATTGACCACCTGATCAGAAGCATGCCTAGGCGCGTTGGAGAATGCGTAGCACATCAGGGTGCATCCACTCATTATTAAAGGTCAAAGGGCTTTCAAGCAGTGCAATCATTTTAAAATTTTTATCATTTACTTATTATGCTTCATTAAGTACTTATACAAAATTTTATTAAAATAAAACCATTTAAACTGGGTGTTCGGATTTATATGTCACTTAGTATAAGACCCACGGAATGGGTTTTGCATTATCGAGTATATGACCTCAAGACTCAATCCTTTTTTGGTCTTCAAAACATATTTTGCTTCACAAACTAATCTGTCTGTGGTACCTCAGAGGTGCTTGCAACGGCACAAAATGCAGCGAATCAAAATAAATATAAGAGATCTAGCTGGGGACGGACTTTGAGATTACAATCAAAGATAAAGAAGGATAACATGGAAGAGTTTTGCGAAGAGCACAAGTCCTTCTTGCATAGGGACACGTTGCTTTTTTCTCTTATTCAAGTAAACATTTCTTGAACAATTCCCTGAATTTTATTACATAACGGCATACTGTCTACCATTCCTATTCATCAACCACCAATAACTTACAGCTACTTAACAACCTGTTTTTACGATATCGTCGATCTAATTTAGCCAATTTCCTATGACCGCGCCATAAAGCGTACTATATATAAACAGAGGTAAATAAATCCAAACGTTGATGAAACCTAACCAGAACGACGCGTCGGGCCGGTGACGTCGCGTCGTAAATTAGGGAAGCAGGGGGTCAAGGCGAGGGCGTAGACGTGCAAGTAGGTCGCTTGTGCAGGGTGCAAGGGCCCGTGCTGTGTAGGGAATTCAGGGAGAGAAGAAGAAAAGGTCAGGTCGAGGCTGTGGTGGCGAGAGGTTTTGGGACCTCGACCCTGATACACTTGAACGGAACGAAACGCCGATAAACTGCCTCCGGATGAAAGGAACAGGGAACAAAGGAAACGGGGATTCGGGAGTATGAATCCGCCGGCGCGGTGTCGCAACGGCACGTGTATATTATATGAATGGGCCTTTGCTACGTTCGAGCGACTCTGTCAACATATACAAGGCGATTTGAATAACAGTTACGAGGGGTAAAAGTAGGTCGCTTGAACAGTGCCAGGACCGGTGTCGTGTCGGGAAATCAAGCAGAGAGAAAAGAGGTCAGATCGAAGATCTGCCTGTGGTGAGAAGGGTTGGGATCTCGATCCTAATATATTCAAACGGAGGTAATGAAATACCTCTGAACGGCTTTAAGATGCAGGGAGAGTCTCAACACGAACAAAGCAAAAGAGGGGTTCGGGAGCTTCAAGCGACGGCACGATCATGTTTGTCTGATTGAATGGGCCTTTGCCACCATCCAGGACGAGGTGCAGCATAAATATTTCCAGTTCTCGGGAACTTCTTACTGTATGGATGAATAAATAAATCTGATGCCAATGACCATCGCTGAATAGGTCACCTAATGGGCCCTTTTGAATCCCTATCCCGAGAGCGACGTTTGTAACGCCAAAGTAGCACCAGTTCCTTCCAATCCTATACTTTCTGGTTCTGGCATATTGGACACCAGTATAGTCTGCTTATGGTAGCATAAGGTCTGGCTGACTTCCTCTCTAGCCGCAAGATATCCATCGTAACTGACGGGTTCTCCTTTCCATACCATGTCAACGTGGTTGTTCCCCAGGGTTCGGTCTTGGCGTCGACACCACTCTACTTGCAGGAATTCAGAGTGGCAAGCCGATCTCTGACGGTGAGCTGGAGAGCAGCGACATTTCGTCTGACGAGAGTTCTGGAGACTATCACTGTTTGGGGACGTACCAATCTGGTACTGTCTAATACTTCCAACATGTAGTACGGTACCTTGACTAAAAAGAAGTGCTCTAGTGCTCATCCGGTGGAGGGCCGAGTTCTGCCAAAGCCGTTCATTTCGGCTGGTTGGGGTCTAGATCACCACCGTCTGATCGATGACTCTGAATCCATTATTCTTTCGAATTCTTCTTAAAAATTGAACTTCGTCAGCTAGAGTTATGAATACAAAACTTTTGTCGATTTTACAATACCTCGAACAAAGGGGAATATTTTAAGTCTACTGAGTCAAACTACTGAGAGTTTGATCAAACTAGGAAACACACCTTTTGAAACTGTATGCGGCCTACCGAGCTACCATGTTTCATTTATCCTTGACTTGAGCACACGTACGGCGATCATTCCTGAAAGGCAATATCCGTAAAATCTCTCAGAGAACCACTAGAGTAGAAACATGCATTACAAATAACGCATGAAGGAGGAGCACTTCGGCTTGTGCGTGTGTCAAGAGGTTGCTTCGTACTAAATAAAAGATATCCGTATTATACAGGGCGATTATAAGACTTTTCAAACAGAATGGCTATCAATACTATCAACGGAAAATTTCCTCGCAAACCAAATCCTGTGGAGTCAAATACTTCCCACAAATTCTAGTACATGTTTTACCTAGTCATTCATTATTTGGGCTTATGAAAAAAAAAATCATCAGATTGCAGCAATAAGCGTATCCGTACACGAACCTTATTTCTTTGGAGCTTTGACGTAAAACTACTTTTCAACAATGTTTAATAACTGATTATAATTGATTTTGATGAACACTTATAAACTATACCATATAATATTACGTCACAAAATCATTGAATGACACTCTAGCTTAACGCTCATATATATATATATATATATATATATATATATATTACGAGTATATATATATATAATATCGCGCCCATCTCGTATGTCCCCGCACTGCTTGTCTGCTCGGATTGAATACCAAGGATGCAATGTTTAGTCGTATAAATATCCCCGTGGCGCACGGCATATGCGACCGATAGTCGACTGCTGAAAATATTTTTGGTTTTAAGGGCAAATG